AGCCCGGGCAGCTCGTGGAGGATAGGTGTTATGTGGGCGAACCGCGGTGCGCCCACAATCACTCGCGCGGCCGCATTCTGGACTAGCTGAAGTCGCCGGATGACCTTGGGCCAGTCTCTTTTTCCCAGCCTAAGGGAAAACACTTCTGAAAACCTTGCCAAGAAAACTTGGCCACTTACAGTCTTCAAGAATCAGACATGACTGAATGGATCAATCATGAATCAAAAAATGTGAAGATGCATATTAAGTTACTTCCTAATCTGAGAAGGACAGAAATGAACTTACATATAAATAGCTGAATAAATAGCCAAATGAAATAAGGGAATGATTAGATCACTTGATATATTTTCTTTTTATTATAGGTAGCCTATACAAGAACCACAGCACAAGCTTTAGTCTTTCCAATTTAGCACTTCCATCTAAAGCTGTGAGAGACAAAACCACTCCATTTCCTAGTCTGAAAGGTAATTTTTTCATTGCCAGTTAATGCTTTCATAATTGATTGCCAAGTGGTCATAAAATATATTCTCTTCCCCAATGAAACAGGACAATGAAAAAATAGGAATCCTAAGTGGATGTTTTTCAGATCTCTATTCATGACCTGTATGGAGCATACATTGGAATGGCAGTGATCATTGAAATATACTTAGTGTGGCTTTGTTCATATGACTTTTTACCTTGATAACATTTTATTATATCAGTCATATGGAACACTAATATGGGAAAGATATTTCAACAGCCTTCATATAAACTAATGTTTAATTACATATAAATGTTTGCTAGATGGGAAATTGACTTGAGATTGAAAATATTAATAATCTTTCTCATGGAAGCAGTTGTAGTTAATTAAGTTGGATGCAGAGGTGTCCACAATAAATCATATTGATGCAAAAATGTTGACACTTGGCAATACAGGTAATCCTTGACTTATGATCCCAGTTGGGACCAGATTTTCTGTTATAAGTTGTCATAAGTCAAGTGAAATCCAATTTGATGACCATTTTTTATGACAGTTGTTAAGCAAGCACCACAGTCATAAGTGGGATTCCATTCTTCTAAATGGGTGGATTTTCCTGGAAGCCAGCAGTAAAAGTCACAAATCATGATCACATGACCACAGGACACTGTAGTTAGTCATAAATGCGAACCAGTTGCCAAGTGCCTAAATAGCGATCTCATGAACATCAGGATGGTGCGATGATTGTAAGTGCAAGGACTGGACTTTTTTCAGCACTCCTAACTTTGAAAGGTTGCTAAACAAAAGGTTGCAAGTCAAGAACTAGCTGTATTGTGTGATGAATCCCATTCTCTTGTAATTGCATCCCAATTTGTGACTAAAATTCTTAGGACACAATATTTGTATCATGGCCTTATATTTCCTGTGGATAATCATGGCTGAACCACTCAGCAATTTGAAGAGTGAAGAATAAATACAGGTTGTAGAAGTTATGGTTATTTTATATATTTACTACAGTTAATATTAGTCAAATTTACTAATGAACCTAACCCTTTCCATTTTTGTACTTGGACTTTTTAGTTGCTCAGCTAGAAGAAGGCTTTGTTTGCCTTTTCAGTTCTTGTATATGATTAGAAAATTATATTTTTTTTCTTTGTAATAAGTTGATTTTATTTATTTCTTCCCCTTCTCCATTTTCATCGGTAAAGATTACTTTAATCTGGAAGTGGGAAGGGATATGGATAAAGGTTGGTATTATGTCTTGCTAACATTTGACCTTTTAATGATAAAGGCCAAAAGTTGGTTTTGTGTTGCTGCCTTAAAGTTTGCTTTGGATAGCATAACTTTCTTTCCTGGGTGTGTGTTTTTCTGTAAAATATACATCCCCAAATGATTGGGAGCCGCCCAGAGTTTGATATAAAATGGATGGCTATATAAATGTTTAAATAAATAAAATAGTAACCGAAAAGGAATGTGAATACTCTAAAGTTCCTGCATGATATCTTAGAATATTTCCATCTGCTTACATTCTAATGGGCATATTTTTTATCGCTCACAATTCTATGTTAGGTAAATCTCATATTAATAACACACATTGGAAGAAAACAGTGATGGGTGTTTCCATTTCTTTTCATGTTTTTGTCTCATTTTCTGCAATTTATCATTTTTTGAAAACTCCTGTCCAGTGTGATCTCTTGTTCTACGTTATACCAATGATGTTTTTAACCTTTCTAATAGACAGTTTCTTTGCCTGTATTTCTGCCTTTTAAATAAATAACATATAAATAGGGGTTCCACTTTTTGGAGTGAATATTAGAATAATATGGGACTTTTACAAGCTAGCCAGATAAATTTTGTCATGAAATGCCAATTTAACAGAAATATAAGTTAACGAGGCTAAAAGTAACTAACCCACAATATAAATTATATGACAGAGATTAACTCTAACTCTGAAACACAAATCTACTTTGTTCAAGGTCAGTCTTAAACTCTCACCTTTCTTTCTCTGGATCATCCACTCAAAATGCATATAGTATTTGTTTATCAAATTTAGAAACTGCCATCTCCTTCACACAGGAACTGTGTAACTTATCTTACGGACAGACTCACACTCACATATGCAGGACCTTCTACAGGGGATGTCAGAAAGTCAAGATGACAGTTATGACCATGCAAAAAGATGCCCCATCTTTTTTTTTAATATGCTTGCATGTAAAAAAGGGCAGTTTTAGGTTTATGGTTACAATCACCATCTTGACTTTTTTGACTAACCATGCACATAGTCAGATGCTTTCTTGCCTACTCCCACTTCCCTCATTGTCTGTAGCCTTTCCTGCTTCCTCCTCAGGACATTCCTCTTCTAGATTTCCTGCGACAACTTCCCCCACTTCTTACAAAACAATGACTATCATCCTTTCCTTTTCATTTTAGACATGGTTAATGTTTGAACCAGAGGCATTTTAGGGAATAAAAATTGCAAGTGGCTGAAAACCAGCTCTTTACTTTAAATTGCTCCCATTGTAACTAGATTTTAAAAAAAGGTTAAGAATTAGCAGGCTATTTCACAGAGGAAGACAAAGGGTGAAGTAATGTCTACAGACAGCAGTTCATGAGTAAATGAGTAATGCAGTTAACAGTTTATGACTTAGGCCTATTGCTCACTTTATGAGTAGGTGAGTAGATATGAGAGCTGCCTTTCTTAAGTGTCATAATAGTAATGGTATAGTTGCAAAGTAAATGTGTGTGTGTGTGTGTATACACACACACACACACACACACACACATACACACACACAAACACTTAGTCAAAAGGAAGAGAATCATGAATTTAAAAGAAAAGAAAGTTTGGACAGAAGAATATTTATGTGCTTCTGCTCCTTTACTGAATTCTCAACAAATATAATTTTCCCATAAAGTATTTGTGGCAACAAAATATGTTTCCTGTTCAGGTAAATAAAGTATTTCAAAACTTTGCAGTAGATTTGTTCACTAGATATAGTATCTCGTTAAATTCCATTTCTCAATATTTTATTATCCTTTCCAGCAATTTCTTTTAGATTTGGCTTTATATTTTGTAGTACAAATTGGGGGATTAGGAAATCTACAGCTCCAGCAATGAAATACAGTATATTGTTGGAGTTTCATATGAAAGTGATGATGTCCAACTATTTTATTCTAATTATTGATAATCTGAGACTTGGTTCAGTAGCAGCACCAGTGCAAATGCATGAATAAGAGATAGGGAATATAGTATTATGATCTTGCCCTTCCAAGACTATTGATACTTTTATTTTGTTGGTTTTACCTCCCACCCCTTGATTAGTCCTACAGCATTTAATCAACAATGAGGGAAGCTACTAATTTAATATAGAAATGGTGGTGATTTTACTAGTATACTACTAATTGTTTATTTTGTGTCCCAGTATTTGGGCTAAATACTATAATGGAGATTATTACTGAAGCTGGGCCAGTAAGCAATGAAGGTGGGTCCTTTGCATCATGAGTTGTGCATGACATACCGATTCCCAGTAAGCATTTTGTGCCTGTCTTTGGGCAACTTTACCACTGGTAACCAAGACTGTATGATCTCTACTAATCACATTCCCATATTGCATTATGCTTTTCCATATGTTGTCGAATCTGAAGATGGTTCTTGTGGCAGAAATGCATGCAGAGCAGCTGAGCTTCTCCTGCTTTTCACCTTCTGCTCTTACTACCATCTTCTCTTTTGTCTCATTCCCATTACTGTTTTCTGCCGATGTATGATGCAGTAATACAAAATATGCTACTGCTTTTTCAAGTTTTCTTTTGTGCGTCCTTTTAAACAGATTGTTAGCTAATACCTGTGTGTCTCATTAGTAGCATTTATGGACTTAAAGCCTCTTTCTCAGTAAATGTTTTCTCATTCTGCTTCTTTACTCATGCAGGAAACAGGCGAGCACTTGTTGATCAAAAGTCTTCTGTTATAAAGCACAGCCCAACAGTGAAAAGGGAATCTCCTTCACCACAAGGACGGACCAGTAATTCCAGGTAAAAAAATTGTAAAGCATAGCTTGGCAAGTAGCTTCTTTTACATTGCCTAATTTCTGAAGCTTCTGCAACTACTACCTGCTTTCTCTGTGGAAGTCGGTTGCCTGAAAGAGAGAGAGAAAACAACAAGGAATGGAGTCTTCTGTTTTTAACTTTCTGTCAACAGCCACTTGCTTCATTATTTTTTTAATATACATTTGCTAGACAGAGAAGTTTACCTTGTCTCCTAGAAGCCACACAAGATAGCCACACAGACAGACAAAACATACATCTCTAGCTGACATTTCAAATCTTCCAGTGGTGTACCCTTCATCCCTGTAATAAGTCCATCCTTATTAAACTTTTTCTCATTATTTCTACCTTTCTTAGTACTGTAGACTTAAAAGAGCCAGATCTTCTCATAATATGTCCAAATATCATAATCGTCAGGCTGGTCATTGCACTTTGAGCAACAACTCTGGGTTGATTTATTTTGTGATCTGTTTTCTTGTCTATCCATAGTATTCTCAAGAGTCTTCTCCAACTCAAAGTTCAAAATATTTTTGCTTCTTCAAAATACAGCTTATACTGGCATTGAATTTTATAGGAAGAACTATTATCTGCATGATTCTGCTCTTTGTAGGAACAGATACATCATAACATCTAAGTATCTTTTGCTATACTATAGAGCACTAATTTGTAGGGCATTTCTTAATTGTATTTCTTTACTGAAAGAAAGAAAAAAAGCACACACTGCCTTTTGGAGGGGTATTCTTTTGTTTTCTCTAGTATATACCTGAAAGAGTATCTCTACTTCCTAATCCTTTTCATAAAATTAGCTTGAATATCAAGCATCTTCTTTTCTGCGAAGGGCTCTAATTTGTGGTCATATGCATTTATTTTTCTAGCAGGTGAAATATACAATATACAATAGTTTGCATATTCCACTAACTCTCTTTGGTATTGGTATGCAGACTGATCTCTTCCCAATCTATTGGCCACTGTATTGTTCTCCAGATTAGCTAGCATAGTTTTATTACAAGCTTTACAGTTTCTTTTTCTGTTGCTTGTCATACTCAAACAATTTCTTTAGTCTTCTGACCTCATAATGACTGGAATGTTGATCTGATTTCATCTTCTAGCATTATAGGTTCTTATAAATAGGGAATATAATATAGTGCAAACAGGTTGGCTTTGTTCTTCCACTTTAGCTTGACTGAATGTCAGCATGAACAGTTTGTGATTGTTTCATAGTTATTGATCATATCTTTACTGTCATTGCAGCTCTTCCATTTCCTTGTATCAATACTATGGTTATTTTGCATTTTGTGTACTCTACCTGGTAATGTCCACATATAAGGTATTATTGTGTTTGTTAGAAGATTGTTAGCAATGAAGAAGTCTCTACATTGGCAGAAACCTGTAAGTCATTCTCCTCCTTCATTTCTGTTTCTTAGACCATGCAATTGAATTACATTTCCCCATTTAACATTTCCAATTTTAACAATCACAAGCAGTATATCTTTCTTGCAAATTTTGCAATTTTCAGATTAAACTTGATTGTAATCCTTGCCATGCTCCTGTTCTTCTGCATCAGTGGTTCAAGCACAAATTTGTATAACTAATTAAGGGGCTCTCCATGAAGACAAACTGATATTATTCTATCATTAACTACTTTGACTTGAATTTTATCTTTGCATATCCTTCTTGACTATAAAAGCAATATGTTGCTTTTTTGTTTTTCTTATCTTGAGTAGTGAAGCAGTATGATCTTTTGATTGAAAATGTCCAATTCCAATCCATTTCAATTCACCTAAAATGTCAATGTATAAATCATCTTTCATTACTCAGCTTAATCTCATCTTTCATTGTGTTGAGATTTCCCATAGTTATGCTTTTTATGTTCCATGTTACACTTTAATTCTTTCTTTGCAGTTTTAGATTTTCTTTTTCCTGCCTGGCAGCAACAGCAACTAGACTTCCTCAAGGCTTTAATCTAGTCGTGTTAAAAAACCCCATTAGTACTGTGAAAGATCTTCAACTGTTCTTCAGTAGAGTGTTGAGTGCTGTCCAACCTGAGGAGCCTGATTATGTGACAATATCTAGTCAATCATTTTATATTGTCTAACCATTGACTTTCTTGGTAAAACATAGGCGTGGTTTAACATTGCCTTCTGCACAATATGAAATTATGCCTTTGTTGTTTTCACTGATGTGATCATCCATATGCAATATATTTCTACATTGCTGCTTTCCAATATGTGCCCACTTTCTGTAGCTGGATTGAGTTTTGTTTCTTAGGTGATCCTCCTGGGGAGGTATATCCTCTTGGCACACATTGCCTCTATTCATAGCTTATTCCTTCCAGGAACACTCTGTGATGATGTAGTATAGTAGGACACGAGGGAGTGAGAATGGCAGAAATATCCCTTGTAGCTCAAAGTTTTACAGTTAAAATATTAAACATACAACATCACAAAATACACAATTCCCCTGCAAGACTGGGAGCAGTCTTAAAAATAAAAGTAGTATGAAAAATGTCAGCCTTAGATTTCTTTCTAAGTATCATAACATGCAAAATATGAATTTCTGGATATAGACTGTTTCAGAAGGATGGAACCTTAATGGTCAAACCTTCAATATTGTACAGATTAGGAAAAAGATTCTAGAAGAAAACTAGAACTGTGTCATTGACAAATTAGCAGAATCTTGAAACTCTGATTGTGTTTTTCTCCTCCTCCTCCTATATGTCAGTAAGATATGAATCAGCCTGTCTCTTCTTAATAATTAAATAACTCCTTTCTAGGGCTTTTACCCTTTTTGTAATGGCTTCTGAATATTTCCCTCAAGGCCTAATGTTACAATATTGGCTCTCATTAGTAGACATATACTGCATTTGGTGTTAGGCATATGCTTCTTCCCACAAATTACCATTTTCCTCTCTGAATATGACTATGTTATGGTCTATCCCTCACCACTCAATTAGAGTCTTTGTGCCTCTGAAGTTGCTTATTTAAGGCAACATTTTCTTTTTTCAAAAAAACAATGTTTATTTTCTTTAAAAAAAATTTGATGTTTAAAGTTGCTACACAAAGCCAAATAATATGCTTTCCGTTCTTAAATCTTGCCATCCAAGGATATTGAGGAACACTATTACACATAAAAAATTTTTTTTCTTTTAATAATAACAGTAATAGAAAAGTTATAGAAGTTTTGGGTTGATTTTTTTTGTTATTATATGCCTTCTTTTTATAGTGAAAATCAGCAGTTGTTGAAAGAGGTGGTGCACAACGTCCTAGATGGACAAGGAATTGGTTGGTTAAACATGAAGAGAGTACGTCGTCTTTTGGAAAGTGAGCAACTCCGTATGTTTGTGTTAAGTAAGCTTAATCGCACTATCCAGTCGGAGGAGGATGCTCGACAGGATGTTGTCCAGGATGTGGTTAGTTTTATTTTTATTTNTAATATAACTCAGTTATTTTGTAGGATTTTTTTTTTACTGTTAGCAGGAAATATTGGATGTAGTTCTAATAGCAGCTGGATTAAGCAAGCTGTTTGGAGAGGCACAGAAGAACTTGTTAATGGAAACTCTCAGTCATTGTAAAGTTAAAATTACATCTCATATATTGCTGGTATTACATGCTTTCCTTCTGTAATATTTCAAATATTGTCCTAAAGCTTTTTAGTCACGATTTCTATAATGTATATGGTTAAACTTTTTTTCTCTAAATATATCCACAGAAAATAATATTTAAATGAAGCAACTACTTATTACTGCTAGGTATAGGAACCAAGTTGCAGAGAAATTATCCTAACAGTATTAATGTAATAAAACTTACTTTGGCAGAGACAGTGATAAAAATCAATAGAATGTTTTATGTTAAATTTTAGTTTATCAGTAGTAAAATTGTAAACTACTTTTATTATTTTAAACTGCAATAACATAGTTTATCATCAACTACTGGTATTATAGAAATCTTTATCTGTAAACAAATTTATGTCTTGTTCTCTCTACAGGAATCAGCTGATTCAACAGAGGTAGAAGAGAAGATGGTAGCTGGATTTTCAAATCACCTTTCCAGCTTGCCTTTCCAGCCAAATTTTCCCAAGGTGACTGTGGATCATCGTGAAAGCGAGAGTCCTTCATTCAGCTTGAGCACCACAGAAGGAATGGTGAAGAAACGAGAGTATGATAATCCATATTTTGAACCACAGTATGGATTCCCAACAGAAGAAGAGGAAGATGAGCAGGAAGAAAGCTATACTCCAAAGTTTAACCAGCATCTCAATGGCAGTCGGTGAGAATTGCTATATCCAGCATTGGTTTTTAAAATTAATTTGGTCCTTTCTGTGTGGTATCATCCATTGTCTGAGAAATTTTCTGCAATTCAGCTACATTCTTAATACTGGATTAAAGTATTCTTCTTTACCTTTAATATACAGTATATTAAACTCCTATCTCTTCATAGGAAGTAATATTTATGTTCCACATTAAAGATGCTAAAAATAGTATGTAGGCTTCTTTGAGTGCACGGATGGGGCAAAAGTAGCAGTAGAAAGAAAAAAATATACAATTGTCTATAAAATTTATATTAATGTCATATGGTTCTGCATATCTGCAGTATATTAAAAATATAATAGGAAAATCTATGGATTACTTTAGTGGACCCTCTGGTACTTAGAATCTGTAGAACCAGATGAGCCATTTTCAAAAGATTTGCACAGTAGGGAAGGATGGCATTATTTCTCTCTCATTTGGTATGTTTGGGAGAGCTGCAAAAGGTGGGTGAGGGATTTGGTTTTGTGGAATACTGAGAGAGCTGCAAAGGCTTTTAAACAATCTATGCAATATGGTTTACCCATGTGTACTGTAATAGATTTGCCTTATTTCTCATAAAAGTATGCATTTCTTTTCAGTTATTTGTTCATTTAACCATGAATAATGAATAATTATTGATGAATAATTATTCATAATTGAATAATTGAATAATTGAACATAATAATTGAATAATTATTCAATAATGAATAATTATATTAGTGCTGCATTTAACCACTGAGCCAAGGTGGCGCAGTGGTTAAATGCAGCACTGCAGGCTACTGCTAGATCAGCAGGTCAGCGGTTCAAATCTCACCGGCTCAGGGTTGACTCAGCCTTCCATCCTTCCGAGGTGGGTAAAATGAGGACCCAGATTGTTGGGGGCAATATGCTGACTCTCTGTAAACCGCTTAGAGAGGCCTGAAAGGCCTATGAAGCGGTATATAAGTCTACTGCTATTGCTACTGCTATAATTATTGATTTTACTACCCCTGCAAATGTTGCTTTGTGTGATGATTTTCTGACCCCGCCATAGGTAAACACAAAGAAGTTTGTGATAATGACATGCTTCCTAATTTCTATTATTGCCATAGATAGAAAATGCTGCAAATAATGTGTTTCTTTTTTCCTATTTTTTTCCAGGCCTCCAAAACTTTTGCGTCCCAATAGTTTAAAGCTGGGAAATGACTCTGATGCGGAATCGGATTCTCATGCCAGTTCCCCAAATTCTACAGTCTCCAATAACAGCAGTGAAGGTTTTGGGGGTATTATGTCTTTTGCCAGTAGGTATTCTTATTTTCTTGCATACTGTTTGAAATAATAGGTGGGAAGACGTGGAGAAGAGATTCAAAGGGAACCCACCCCCCACTTTGGAAGCATGCTATTAATCCTAGGTACCATGAAAGTCATGGATCTGATTATTGCTGAATATGTGGCAGTCCCCTGTTTATGGCTTTTTTAAAACCAGGAGAGATGCATAAAAGAATAGGTGACATTATTTGGTGGAAAAGAGTAATGACAGATTTTATCCAGAGGTCAGGTAGCAGATTTTTGGGGAAAAATGGTGTCTGTAGACTAGGTTGGGCAACTCAAAATGCTTTCTGAAGGGTAGGTGGGAAAATGGCAAATTCCACTCAGGCATTCTGGAGTGTAGAAAAGGAAGGCCTATCTTGTCCAGCCTTATTTTCTCACAGTGACTAGGCAGAACCTGAGTGGAAACTATGTTCTTCAGCAGTTGGTAGTAATAACTATGTTGCCATGACCACTGCCTCTGAAAATTTATAATTATCCCATCTATCTATTAGCCATCACTATTATGTAGGGAACTTAGCATTTACATTTTACTTCTGAATTCACAGTTTCTAGAATAATCAACATACATTATTGTATGATCTGTTATTGATAATTTTTTATGACACTGCAATTATTTTTCCGTTTCACTAAAAAATAATTGAATTTTAAACTCCATGTGATTTTGATATACAATATCATAGGGCTTTTTGACCCCTTAACCTTTAACTATTGGTGAAATTGGTGGGAACTGATGGAATATGTAGTCCGAGCATATCCTGTGATATAAAATGGATATTATGGTTTGTGAACTCTGAAATGTATTGGGGTCCTTAGTTTAAATGCTTTTTTTTTGGCTGGTATGAGGTTGGGTGCTATTTTGGATAGGAGCATGCTAATTTAACAATGCTGCTTTCTACAGTGTTGTGTTTGAAGCATCTATGTTATTATATCAAGGCTTAAGACTAATTCCTGCTCTGCTATACCTTTTTGAAATTCTACTTTAAATATTAACAATTTTCTTTTAAATTAATCTTTAAATGTGCTTTGTGGTTGTTCATAACTTTATGCTTTAGGGGGAAAGATGGGTACAGCTGCTGTATATTAAATAAATGAATTCAGTGGTCAATTAAAAAAATGATATTCACAGACATGTTTAACAGAATTTTTGTCTGATATTAATTCCATATGTGAGATATTGTCATAGGTCTTTGGCTAGCTTTGAAACTGAAATTCTCCAGTTAAGATGGCCATCAAGCTATCACAGATATTCCTTTGCTAGTAAACAATTATTTTTCTTTCCTAATAAGAGCCATTTTGGACATGATAATATGTGGGGAAGTAGATAGCACCACTGACTTGTCCCTCCTCTCCCTAGGTATTCTTAGATGTACTTGCAGTCTAACTTACTCATTTTGATTAGCTGTGTTTTTCAAAGGAAGCTTGCATATTACTTTCTAAGAAGAAGCACAGTTTGATTTGAATTGTGTGACTCCAATCAGTGCTACAGTCTTTTTAGGAATAGTGGTTTAGCCTGTTTTGGAAAGGATTCCAGAGAGTTCTTGGGCTTGACGTTGCTACTCAATATCTAGTCAGCAATATTAGCCATTGGGGTTTTTGCCGTGGGTTGATGTGCTAAGAAGACTGGCAGACTTGAGTAAAGAACAGACACACCTCAGTTATATTAAAGTTTGGGTTACTTGTGGTTACATTTACCTTTTGTAAATTGTACAGGAAAAATTAAACTTTTTTGGGAAACATTTGAAGCTGTTGTATCATTTTAATTAGTTATGGTTTTGTTTTCTAGTCTAATTTAAAGAAGCGGTTGTTGTTTCAAAAGATTTTTGATTAATTGACTTTAAAAAAAATGATTCAAGAAAGACTTTTGAGTAGTAACATCTAATGGTGGAGTTCTTGCTTAAGAGTATCCACCNAACTTTGAACGATCACTAAGTGAACTGTTGTAAATCGAAGACTAACTGTATTTATCACAGGTCTTAGAAAACTGTTCATTGTTTATAGTTTCAAGAAATTAATACCTTTCATCAATCTGCAATTAGAGTTAAGGGGCAAAGGCATAGATAATCAGTAGCTGGATCTTTAGAGTAAAAGCCCTTATTAACTCATGTTTTTAGATATGCAAACAAATATTTTTTTAAATGAAAAGGGGTTTGCAAGCCATAGGTACTGCATAAAAATGAAGAAAAAGCAGAAAATTATCTGGATTTATTTTTTAAATCCTAACAACAAGAGATTGCATAACATTATGAGTTGAGTGAACCGGTTTGGTGGAATGGTTTTGGCATCAGACTAGAAACTGGGATACTGTAAGCTCTGGTCTTGTCTTAGGTATGAAGCCAGTTAGGTGACCTTAGGCCAATCTATCAGCCCTAGGAAAAAAGGCAAACCACTTCTGAAAATTTTGCCAAGAAAACTACAGGGACTAGGCCAGGTGAAAGCACAGTCATTTAGATCAGATTGCCAGTGTAAAAATTTGGTTAACAAAAGAAATAAACATTAACTCAAAGGCACAATATTAAAAAAATGAAATTTACAGGAATTTATTGTTAAGGCATATAGGAAAGCTTCCATGGTAACTTATGTTCGGTAGAATGTACTTTTCTTTGCTTGAGGGTTGAACTACATGGTCTTAAAATGCAATAGATAAATGATAAATAATCAAGCTACATGTTTAACTGAAAGTTACAAATTATTTTCAGCATTTTAAAGATTTAGGTGATTTACTTAAATCACTTTACTTAAAATTCAGGATAGTACTGAACTAGGATTGTGATTAAAACAAGTAGAAATATTTGAGACAGTGTTAGAAATACTAGAAATTGAATGAACATTGTAATATAGTACCAGCAAAGTTTATTCTTATATACTCTAGTTCGAAAACTCAATAATCACAAAATGAACTGAATATGTGCTGTGGCACAGCTATCCAGAANTCTTTCTTTCTGGTGTGAAGCCAGCTCTCCCTCTTGTGGCGCACCATGGGAAGCATGCAAGTGTTTCCTACAACAGAGCTGGTACCTTGGCAGCCAAACTACTACTCTGCAATTGCATTGTAGTTTCCCGGCTAATCTAACAATGCAATGTAACAATAACAGTAATAATAGAGACACCATAAAACAACACCCAGTTTAAGAGCATATTGTATTCTGCAGAGATGCTGTTAAGTAATTTAGAAAATATTGAACTAGATGGACTAATAATATATTATACTTTCTTCTAAATTATAGACAGCATAAATAAATTATATAAAATGAATTAAAATGCAAGGGAATTTTAAATAATATCTTGAAAGGGCTGTGGAATTGGCTTCTGATTAATGAAGCATTCTTACAGATGAGCTTTTTTGTTTTAGGAGATTAACCGAAAGGTTTACAAAGGAATGCTGGATTTACTAAAATGTACAGTATCAAGCCTTGAGCAGTCATATGCAAATGCTGGACTTGGAGGCATGGCAAGTGTGTTTGGCTTGCTAGAAATAGCTCATACTCATTACTATAACAAAGGTAAGACTATACTAAAAATGAGTGTATAAATACTATAAATACTGTGAAAAGCCTTATGTGGCAGAACTAAATCTAGCCTGCTGCAGTCAATAATTATATGGACTTCAAATAGAGGCTGTAAAGAAATTGTGTCTAATTTTTTGTATCAGTTATAATATATTATTTACTTTGTTTTGTTGGTTTCAAGAAATATTTGTGTGAATGACTGAGAGAAACAGGCGAAAACAAACAGACATTGTCCCTCCCCCAAGAAGTAAAGTGAGGCCCCTGCAAAAAATAGTATTAGATTCCCTAAGATGGTGTTTATTCTCTATCTCAAAATTCTGGTATTCACTCAAGAGGCATGAGGTTAAAGATGAAGTTTAGCTGTAGTAAATCTGAGTTAATGCTTCTCAAAAATAAGTAAATTGCCCCAGATTGAGTAAAAGTAGTTTTTCTTTTGGTAATGATACCAACCTAGTTATTACCCAATTGCACAGGGACATTTAAATAAGGACTTTCTGATAAGTGGTTCTGGATAATGAAGGAACGTAGCACTTTGGGAAGCACAAAGTTATATGGAATTGTCTGATTATCATTTGGATTCATTTTGTTCAGAATGCACATTCAACTTAGTCATTTTATTAGCAAATCAGCATTAAGCTGATCATTACCACTGAAATAAGTTTAAAAAAAATTATGTTTCAGTTGTATTGCTTATGAAGCATAGTGTGGAATGATTAAACTGTTATGAATAAGAGACAAGCAGTGTATGCAATATACTTCCTCCGTCATCAACCTGCCTTATTGCATGAATTGGTCAAGGGAAAATGGATCACAAAGCAGGTGCACCTTGTATGTTGTTTCTTCTCTGTAATCTGGCTACTTTCAGGGAGATGGGAGGTGATAGGAAAACCAAAAGTTTTCAGAGTCAATTGAATTGATTACATTGAATCAATTCCAATGTAAAATATAGGAATCAAACATATTTGACTTTCTAATTAAGTCTTTATTCATTGTCTTCAACATGTCATTGTCTGGTTAAAATAATGAATAACCATTTGACTATTTGTTTATTTATTTACACATATACGTTAGTGGCATCCTCAAGAGCTGGTCTGAAGTTATAGAGATTAGTAATTTATTCAAGATGTGTGTTCCTAGAAGACTGTGGGTTAGAGTTGTGCATGCATTTGGAATGGTGCTTTGCAAAACATATTGTTTGATTGAACAGTAAAAGCATTAGAGGAGGGGTCCCTAATCTCTGGTCTGTGGACCTGTACTGGGCTATGGTATGCCAAAAACTGAGTGAGGCAAACAAGCGAAGCCCCATCCATGAGATGCAGACAAGCATGCAAAACCACGTCCTCTCCGGTCCATGGAAAAAACTCTTCCTATAGAAACAGTCCCAGGTACACAAAAGGTTGGGAGCCACTGCATTAGAGCAATCTGCAAAAGTTGCTCAGTTTTCAGATGGTTTGTACAGCCTACTCCATAGTTATTTGAGAAGCCTGGAATGGACAGAAATGATTGGATTGAATTAAACAAATCTATATTCACATTTTTTGTTTATATTTTGCATTAACAAGACATCCCATATTTAAATGTCACTTCTGAAAGTAGTTAACACTAACACATATACATCTCTTTTATTATATGAAATAAGACTTCCATCAGTAGTGGCCTGATTGATGAGGAAGAATGCTATAACAGGGCACTGATTTAAATAGAGTTTCATAACAATGAACATGTAGAATACATATGTATTCTTCTGCATACAGGCCAGCCATGATATTAAGATGTCTAATCTAATTGTAGCACGACATGTAACTTCCAATATAGAATCTAAGTGCTACTAAAAGTCTCTTAGTCATTACTAACTGGGTGAAATTATGTATCATAAGGCAACAATTTTGGACCTAGAGATCTGGGCTAATTTTTAGAATGTGTCCAAAATCCAGGGTCCATGATACCTGAAGGAGTGAAATTTGGGAAGGTTGTGGCTGCTTTAGTACTACTAGCTGCTGCTGTGCTGCTGCTGTGGTCTTATGATCTTCATGTTCAATAATTTGTGACAGTTTCCCAGACAGTCTTGCAATCCCTTGATCCCTCTCTTATTAGGCAGCAGCTACTTCCTGCTGGAAAGGAAAGGGAGTGAGGAAGGAACAGGAAGAAACCTCTGCAGGTCTTCCCTGCCAGCCTCCTACGACTCATGCCACCTCTCTTTCCCTGACCAGCACTGACCTCTCATGTGCCTTCTCAACCAGTGCAGCACCTCTTGTGTACACCCCCACCACAACTTGCTGAACAGCATTGGCAAATAACATTTCTTGATCTGGTACTGCAGATACATTAAGTTTGACAAGAGTTTTTCATTGTAAGGTCATCCTAAGGTTACTTGTTAGACGGGAAATTTTCCTTAACTGGAAAAAAACACCAAGTCACAATTTGATAGCCAGCTAAATTCATCTTAGAAGGGACCATCCTTAAAATAACCAAGTTTCAATATATTAGATTATGTATCTGTACTTTGTGAATTTCTCTTTAACTGCTGATGATATCTAGAAGTGAGAATATTTTTCATGATTGTAAAGAATTAACACCATTAACACTATCAAGCCTTTCTCTCATTCCTTCTCATTCCCTTTTCTGATTGTTGTTGGCATATTTACTTGGAGAATTGTTGTTGTTGTTGTTTTTTGGCTGCTTATCTCTCTGTGTTCCTTTCTTTTAAAGAGCCTGAAAAAAGAAAGCGAAGCCCAACAGATGGAGCAATCACTCCGGTTGGCAAAGATCCTATTTTAGCCAGGAGGGTGGAACCGAAACCCAAGGTGCAACTACAAGTACCTCAGCTCATGCCAAGGGCACCAGGCCTCTCAGGGAAAGGGCCAAGGGAGTTTGACACAAGGAGTTTAAAGGAGGAAAATTTTGTAGCTTCTATTGGTGTGTATTTAAATATACGTGGAATGCAGGAAAGTGATTGTGCATTGGCATTAGAATCTACTTGCATCTTTCCCATTAAAACATTATTCTCTTCATTGCTCTAGTAATGCGCTTCACTCTCACTCAGTTTGCAAAGGCGAGTCATATATTTTCTTCTCCCATTTTGAACAAGAATCAACTCAACATTTTGGATGAGTTAATTTCTTTTTTTAAAAATTCAGAGACTATTAATATGATACTGACATCACAGACTTTAATTACATCAAGTTGAGTTACTATAAGCAAATTGGCTGTCTGTCCTTTAATGGGATGTTTCTTGGAAGTTCATATACAAAAGATTGGCTGATTTATAAATAACTGCGGATAATTTTTTTTACAATCGGATCTATCCATTTTTATTTATAAGTAAATCCCACGGAGTTCTTGAGACTTGGTGTGATGTATATATGAATAGATTACAGTTATGTGCATTTGGACTCATGTATTCCTATCTCATTGTCTTCCTTTTTTCAGCAAAATTACATTTAATGCTTTATCCTCTTAGGTATTCCTTAGAAACAAATGATTGTGCCAAAATACATATAGTAACAAATAGAACTCTGTGAAATATAATTGCATTAGGTTTGGAACTTTTGCACTATCCAGACAGAAAAACACCTAGCCAGTTTTCTGAATGTTTGTCTCTTCATTCGTTTGCTAGCTGAATTGTTAGGTTAATGTTTAATTTTTTGCCATTCAGGATTTTTTAAAAAATCAGGTTTTGAAGGGTTGTAGCAGAAATAGGGGACACGGTGGCTCAGTGGTTAAGACACTGAGCTTGATAATCAGAAAGGTTGGCAGTTCGGTGGTTCGAATCCCTAGCACCGTGTAACAGAGTGAGCTCCTGTTACTTGTCCCAGCTTCTGCCAACCTAGCAGTTTGAAAGCATATAAAAATGCAAGTAGAAAAATAGGAACCACCTTTGGTGGGAAGGTAACAACGTTCTGTGTATGTTCAGCATCTAGTCATGCCGGCCACATGACTACGGAGACGTCTTCGGACAGAGCTGTCTCTTCAGCTTTGAAACGGAGATGAGCACTGTCCCCTAGAGTCGGGACTGATTAGCACATATGTGCGAAGGGAATCTTTACCTTTACCTTTAGCAGAAATAACCATCTATGTATAGTGGAAACAGAGATTTTTCAATCTCAGGTCACTACAGAAAGATTATTATTTTTTGCAAATTAATTTATGTAATTTTTTGCTAACTATTCATCTGCTCTAATTTGAGGTTAATAACTACTAAATCCTATACTAATATTCACATAAAACAATCAGTGACTGTAAGTAAGGAAATATGAACAGCTCTTCTATGTTTGTCTAATACTAGACAAATCAGTGAAGATGGGGGTTCATTTTCAATGTAATATGAATAAATAACTTAATAAAAGTTGCTGTTATAGTAATTATTACATTAGAGTAAAAACTATTGCCATATTTAGACTGATGTTAGTAGTTCTTCTACCAAATATACTAGTGGGGAAATGGATTTGGTTTTCTAGAAGTTGCAGGTTGTTCTGTCATTGTTTCATCACAGAAATCCCACTCTCTTTAACCTTCAATAACTTCTAAATCAGCTTCTTCTATTTGTTTTCCCATGTTCTCTTTTTTATTGCAGAATAGTAAGAAATAATTCAACCCACTAGTTCAATTTTTTTTTTTGGTAAGAGATAGGTTTTCAGCTTCCTTTATAGGTTTCCTAGTTTCTACTTCTTCCCATAAATTATGCTTTCAAGTTAAATGTTGAACTTTGTTTTCCAGCAAGTTGATATTATGCCACTAAGCCAGTACCTAGAAGTTCCTGACATTTTTTTCAATGCAGAAATGCAAACCTAAAATGGTTTCTTCATTTGCTAGGTGGATTGCATTTTTACCTAATTCCGAGATGCTTGTACTCTAAACAAATATTGCTCTTTTTATATTGATCTCTCTCAGAATACATTTTTTAACACTGCTGAGAGAGTACTGTGAATTGTTTAAATTTGAGGGGGGGGTGCAGTACTTGAACAGACTAAATATGTATGAAAAAATATGTTGGCTAGAAGTATTATTTTGGAGACAGACGTAATCTGAATATTGTGCATAAAAAGCTTGCCAAAATCTTTTTATAATATGTAATTTCTGTGAAGTCAGATGACATCAGGTGGGTGAGTCTCAGAGTTATTTTATTTTTCTCAGCCACCAAATTGCATGTGATTCTTTTTAAAAAATATTTCTTTATTAAGATAATGGAGGGCTCTGCTCCTGATCTAGCGGAAGAAGGATTATTTCTTCACATGCCAGTTTTCATTAATCTCTGTTTTGGCAGTGCAGGGTTGGGTGGCTTACTTTTGTCTTTTTTTTCTTCTTCCCCATTTCCACCTCTGATCAGCATCTGATACTTTTTCTGTCTTTCTCTCCTGCTTGCATTGCATCTTGAGTAGAATTGTGGAACAAGCACCAGGAAGTGACAAAACAAAAAGCTTTGGAAAAACTGAGTAAGGAAAATGATAAAAGGACAGAAACATAATACTCCCCATAGCCTCCCCATAACTGCCAACTCTTTAAGCTTTTGATTGATCACCCATGCCATAGGACGGATCAAGGAGGTCATTTCACAAAGAAACATAGTGTTGAGTTACCTCAAAGAGCCCTTTCCTGTATGAGGAGAGAGAAAAATACTTTAGTTCTTCTGGCTGAGTTTCAAATCCTTCCTTACCACTGAATTTATTTTTTAGATGGTTCTGACAGGTTTCTGTTATGAAGGCATATTATAGTTGCTGCAACATTTTCATTGAAATAATGTTCTGTGTGGAGAGATTGTTGTCCTATTTCTTCAGCAAATGGGTTTATAAGGTCCAATCCATAATCTATCATAGATTATCCATTGATTACTTGAGGTTAAAATAATGTGGGGAATTACTTGACCAACTGTGATTAACTTTTAATGGAAGACAAGACTTATATATTGTTTTTAAAAACTCTAGTTCTTTATTGCCATGTTTAGGAAATAACCAACCCCAACTGCAATCTTCTGATTTCTAGATAGGAGCTAGATATATTCATAAGTATGCACAAATATAAAATACATAAATGTTCATATACACACCATTGATTTTAAGTAATTACTAATTAGGAACAAAAGTATGACATGGAGGTGTATAGAAAATGGGAGGGAAATTAAAGAGGAAATATGTTGTTAGGAAAAGATTAAATACTGTTTTCTTTTTCTATGGAGTGCCCTTTCATGCCAACATTGTGTAAAAAAGAATACTGGTGTTTTGCTGCATGCAACTGTTATATAAGGTAGTTTGCCCAATTAAGCTTAATTAAATTAAATTGAATGAAGATTGGTTAAATCTTGAAAATAATTTCACTGTTTAATTAGTTACAGAAAATTTAGTCTTTTGGGTTGAAAATTGCATTCAGTTTTTGTTGTGTACCCAAAGCTACACTTAAAAAGTAGATTCATTTAGCATCAATAGGAGGAGATACCTGATATGTAATAAGTTAGTGATTCAACAAAATAAATGCAGAATAAAGCATGAAAGTACTCTCATATACAAACTAACATTTTAAATTGACTCAAAGTGGTTTGCAGTTTGTTTGCTGCTGAATTTCAATGGCAAATAGGCTCTGAAACTGAAGTGGTTCTTATTCTTTTGGACCTGTAGCTAAAATGTAGCACTGGGGCCACAGCTTGACATCTGTACAATTAACCAACAGTGTCTGCAAACAGTGTTTCAACTTGTCACCTGCTGTTTATAGCTAGATGAAACCATATGGAGTTTTAGAGTGCATTTCTGTTCTACCTTCCCATTCAACTCCAACTCTAAGAAAGCAAACAATATCTTTGAACAGTCTCTAACTTCATAATAACTGGTACAAAAATAACAAGCTGACATTAAATACAGAGAAGACAGAAGTACTGTTAGTACCTAGGAAACTTGGGGAGTGGTGTTGATTACATTTCTTTTAAAAAAGTGATCGTCACTGTTACTTGATTCACAGATGGTAGCTGTGGCAAGCAGGATATACACCAGTAGTGATTGATAATCTGTGTCAGATTTGGCCTTAGTTATCCATGCTTTGATTGTATACCATCTTGATTATAATAATGCACTGTAAATGGAGGTTAGGAGTGATCTTTGAGGTAAAATATGGTAACTAGGTTGTTAAACAGTGCAGTGGCTGGGGATTGTAAGGCTTATGCTGAAAGTTCCTCCCCTGGTTGCCAACTGCTCACTGGGCACAATTTGTAATTAACCTCTGTAGTCATAAACGGCTTAAATAATTGATGTTTGACGGACTGGCTCTCTCTTTTCAAACTTGTGTGGGTAGTAAGAATTGCTAGAGTGGTGCTCTTAAACATCATCCTTTCCAATTCTGTTGAGTCACCAGCATATTAGTATAGCTTATAACAAAAACAGCAGACCTTGCTTATCAACAGCCCCAGCTTTAATACACTTTAAAGCTGAACACCAAGGACATAATTTACACCAGGGGTCTGAACCCCTGATCCGTGGACTGGCAACAGTCCACGGCATGCTAGAAACTGGTCCATGCTAACAAGTGGAGCCCCATCTGCAGGATGTAGGCAGCATGCTAAATGATGTTCCCTCCGGTCCACAGAAAAACCTGTCTCTACAGAACCAGCCCAAAAGTTTGGGGCCACCGACTTACACAAAGGCACATATGTAACAAGTGAATCAAACCAACTTTCTACATGTACACTTTGCTTACATACTCCCTGAAAAGAATTGACAGTATGTATGAAATATAGGAATACAATACATACACATATACCAGTACATCTTTTTTCATTACCTAGTTGAAAATTATGAGAACACAGCATAAATCCACTACATGAACTTTGGGTTCAAAACAGCCATGTTTTGTTCTAAATTAGAAAGAAAGAAAAATATATGCATATTTTGATTTATGCTTAGAACACACAAATGGCTATTTCAGTAACCAAACTTGAGGATAAAATATAGATTTCCTGATTCCCCTTATTTTTCCAATATTATTTCTCTCTAATAATATTTTTCAATATTATTTCTAAATTTGTAGTACAATGGATGGAAAGCTAATGTATTATAAAGCCCAATGCCAGCATCACTTTTATTTACAAAAATATCTTTTTAGTACCACTGTAGGCCCTACAGCAACACTTAAAAAACGATTCATTGATCTATCATAATACCAGGCTTTACTTCAAAGTGTGCTTTTTGGCTCAAGAAAGAAAAATACCTGATGTATAATAGGGAGCATCCAGAGGAAAAAAAATACCTGATAGGGACACTGTCATCAATTTGCCTTTTGAAAAAAAGGTTATTTTAGGAAGGTGAGTATTCACTGGCTGTTAGCAAGATAGGTATTCACAGATTGATCAGTGCTCATAAGTTCCATGTTAGGAACTCCAGATAAATAATAAAATATCACTACTAAATACTACAAATGCAGAGACTGTAAATTCATGTTTGAAGAGTAGCATTTAATCACTATATCCATTTGACTTTAAGGAAGCTGGATCATATGTTAAAAATAAAAATAAGAAATATGAATTTGAGCTTTTTTCCCCTTAGTCTACTAAACAGGCCAAAAATTCGGCTTTATAGAAATGGCTCTAAAAAAATTAAATTATCAATTACCATTGGTGTGCAGAGAAATTAACTACATAATTTAAATATTGTATACTGCTTTCATATAATACTATAATACAGTATTCTCTGGATGGATATTCAGGGGTAAATTACAGAGCTTAGTAAGAGTTCCACTAAGTTAGATTTATTTAAGACTGCTCGCTTGATTTTTGTAATATATAAGTCTCCTTCTGTTCTCTAAAGTTAATCTTTATTGCCTTCTGTGAATAAATATTTCAAAATATCGTCATCTTAATCAAATAGAATTCAATTTAATTTAATTAAAACTTGTTTCTCTTCCCAATTGGTGTTTACCTTTGGTTAACCAAATGCTTAAAGATATTTTGGTTTTGTAGTTATATGTGTGCATAATGCACAAATGGACATCTAATTGATTAAAACATAAGTGATAGTACATATTTTAGATAATTTATAAATAAATTCTCTGCTCATAGTTTTTCCTTTCCAGCAGTATTATGGACAGCAAGTACCCCATTGGTCAAATGATTTCATTATGAATTAGAAATCTACATGTTCTACCATTAGTAATTTATCGGCTATTCTATAAATTACTCAGTTCATGTTTACCCTTTTTTTATATACAAAATTATTTTTGAGTGATTAAATGATTTAAAAAGTTTCCGTAAAAGCATGTCAGTTAAGAATATAATTATTTGAAAGTAAATCCTGTGCTTTTTGCTCTGCCATTTTCCTTAGTTTCCTGTGAAGCAACCAGAGACATCTCTTTGCAACCATACTTGGAAATACATTTTGAAGCAGAGAAACCAAGATTTATAAACTTCTGTCAATTATTTTTGAGTGCTTTAAAATATATTCAATTCAAAGCATTTTGATGAAATCTCCTCGGAATATGTACAAATACATAGCATTTTTGGATTAACTAAATATCTTTGGTGTAGTTTACTATTTTTAAATAATAGATCACCCTAGAAATCTATACTAAGTGCCCTTCTATTCAAGAACACATTAGCTATTATTTGTGTTTCACATTCTTGTCCCCCCCCCTCCTGTCTACTAGTAGGTATCTGGTATAACTCCACTCGTACTTTTAATTCCCAACTCACACTATTTAGTGGTATGCAAGGTATTTCTTGATTGTGCACCTAGTGTCGCCAGATGACATTTCATGTATTTGTCCTGTAATTAAAAGACAAAAAAACCCTCCAAATGCTGGTCATGTGTCTCCGTTATGGAACAGTTGGCAGATATGGCTATGGCAGAAGCATTGTGCTCAGTCTCCCTTTCTGAAATCTTAATGGTGAATCTGTGTAGTCTGTAATATATTTTTCTCCTGCCTCCTTACTCCCATGGCACAGTGTTTTCCAAACCCTTCCCAATTCTGTCTCATCCATTTTCTAACATTTCATCAGAAAAATAGTTTTTTTTTAAAAAAAAAGGTGAACTGCATGCATCTTTTTGGCTTCTATATTATTTATAAAGAGAATGGGATAATCAGTGCATGTCATGTCAATTGCTGATACGTACACTCTTACTGTTTTTACTTTTGTTATTACAAACTCTGGAGAGCCATTTATTTCATCCTTTCAGTGCTCTGTAATTTTTCCTTCGAAGTTCATGTTTTACTTTTCTTTGTGGCACACAAATTATTGATTATTGCTTTTTGGTTGGTTGGTTAGTTTTTCCATTTGCTAGTGAGTCAAGTGGAATGAAAATCAATGTAGTGGTGTAAATGAAGTAAAAATTGTCCAACAGTAAGATATTTATTTCTGAAAAGTAACAGGCACAGAACTAGTCTTCCATACAAGAGGTAAAGGTATGGCTTTCCAGAGTAATGTGATGACTGTCTGGCATGCTTTGTATTAATTTGAATATGTCTGATGCCTGCTTTGTTCTCTTCCTTTCCTAGTAATAATTGTTTAAGACAATTTCTCTATTTCTCAGGTGCAGTGACATTTGAACAAAATAATTGACTGTGAAAAACTGAGCTACATTATTAATCCATGGTATTGAAAAAATAGGGAAGAAGATTCTATGGGTTCTCTTTGGATGACCCATTCACAGCTCCAGTTTTCTGCCCTATAATTCTTTTATTTTTCCTTCTCGTATTAATAGGATTGTTTATTTTGCTTCGATTAGGGTCAGAAGGTACAAAACACTTCTTTGACTTGGGAGAGACAGATGAGAAGAAATCCCAGATTAGTGCTGACAGTGGTCTAAGCTTAACCTCCAGCTCTCAGGTAAGTGTACAGTAGCTGTTCATTTGGAATGAGCACATTGTGAAAAACTTTTTGTCACCTTGTAAAAAGAATCCGGCCTTTTCATGTGGGTGTGATAGCCTCGAGAAAATTAATATGCCTTTTTCAACCATTCTAATTTTGTAGATATTCGGGCAGGTGAAAAATTGTCCTAACACTCCCGAACTCCCAAAGACCACCTTGACTAAACATACAAACAGAAACAGGAATGTCTAATGTGTATTATTTTGCTTCCTGTCAATTCATGATTTCAGAAGAGTGATCTGGATTCGGTGGCAAGTGGGGGCCCTGCTGTTATGATCCGAAGCACCAGCCAAGATTCTGAAGTTAGCACAGTGGTAGGGCATGCCAAAATGAAATGTCTGAGTTTGATTTTAGCAGGTTTTTTTTCCAGACTTCCTTGTGTATGTGTATTTTTTTCTAAACCTGTAAGTTATAGGTGCTGTGTATATGCTTTTGGTTACATTTTCTCCTTAATTTTCTATATTTTTATTTGAGATTGTCCTCTAGTTGAGGACATATCCTTTTCAAAAGGCATGCCTTGTTCATTCCCATAATTTTACACTAAGTTGTCATATATTGCTTTTATGTTTTTCTTAAATGCATTGGGAAACATAGTATACATTTTTTCATGGTCTGTTTTACAACAATTCTGACCTTATAGCTTTTTTGAAATAAATTTATTGAAGATTATATTATAAAGTCAATACAAAGCATTCATAATTCATATTATAAAATATAAACTAAAACAATAAAAAGCAGAAACAAAAAGAGTAAAAGAACCCTTCTTTAGTCTTAGCAAGTATAGTCAATGTTAACAACTTATCATTATCCCTTAAAAAAACCCAACCATCTCTTCATCCCATGTCTCACCCCTTCTTTTTAAACCAATCTTTAAAACATCATTTCTGTCTTAATCGGCAAAAGTCTATTAAAAGTTATCAGAAATAACACCACTGTTTCAAACCATATATACTAGAGCAATTCATTCCTTTTATATTTATATCTGTTTTCAACATATTCTCCTTATTTTTTTTCTTTTCAAAACACTAGCACTGATGATGTTATTTAGTTTGAGTAATGAAATGTCTACCAAACAACAACAACCACCAAACTCAGAGAGTACAATGGGCTCATTTCAACGCTGAGCTGCAAATATTATCCTTTACTGGTCTTTAAAACATTACTCGGTGTGATCAGAAAAAAATCTATTGAACATTATCAAAAATAACAATCTATTTTAATTTTCCCACAGGAAGAATTCTTTTAAGATTCATAGCTCTTAATCTATTTAAAACTTTTTAAAAACCAACATTAATAATCCTTTTACTATATTATTCCAGGGTTTTTTCTGTACAAATCTTTAAATTTGTAGCTAGACCTTAAAAAGATTGAAGAAAACCTATCCCATGAATTTATTAAAACTTGCCATTCTGATGTTCTTTAATCTTTAAGCAGCAGTAAAAAAAATCCATTTAATTAAAAAGTGCACCTAGGCTACATTAACGGCTATAAAGTTGATGGAATTCTGCCACTCCTAACTGATCAGAAATCGACTGCAAAAATTTCCTGCCAGCTACTCACACAAACAAAACCACAATCTGTTCACGTGACATCATGCAGAGAGATTCTGACCATTTGGAATTATAATATTGTCCCGCTATTTAGGGACAACAGTTTGCCATAGCTTTAACAATTCTGACCATATAACTTTGTTTGCAGAGGATGTGTATCTCTAATTTAGAGATTATTAAACTAGAGATTTATTAAATTAAATTAACCTCTAAATTATCTATAAATTAGCCCCCGGAGTAAATAGAGTTACTCCAATAGTGATATGGGCACCAAATAAATTTAATAAATAAATTTAATAGTAAATTTAAAGGAAATTAATAACAGGCTTACAGAACAACTCTACCAATCAGGCTAGATATAAGTTTATCTGGAGAATGCTTTGATAGGCTTTCAAGGTTCTACTTATTTGCCCAACATTTTGTTTCAGTATCTTACCAGTACTAAAGATCTTTCCAGAAATCCAGATAGTTTTGTTTCCTGAATCTGTCACCATTGTAGAGCTGGACAGAATCTAATGTATTCTTAAAAATTAAGTGAATAAGTTAATGATAAAATGAAGGTCAAGATTCTGGGCTTTTTGTAGCTTTTGAGTAAGTAACTCTAAGACTGAAACAAAAAACCCTTTGTCCATATACATATTGGATCCATATTCCCAGTATGGATCCTATTGTTACATATCCAAGGATACCCACTATCTTCCTATTTTATTTTTAGTTCATATGGTAGAATGTTGAGATTTTGTTAATTTTGAATGATGCTGTAAATGCATTGTTGTCTTTGCAGTATAATGAGCAATAAATAGATAAGACTGTTTGTTTGTTTCCTTCTTCAGGTGAGCAACAGCTCTGGAGAAACGCTTGGCGCAGATAGTGACCTGAGCAGCAATGCTGGTGATGGCCTTGGTGGAGAGATTAGTGGAAATTTAACAGGATCACGAGGCACCGTCTCAGATAGTGAAATTGAAACAAATTCTGCTACCAGTGCTATATTTGTAAGAATATACTTCATTTCTTAGGTGTTCTGGTGTTGGGGATCATTAGGGCTCTTATCTGGTGGAAGGAAATTTTGTTAAAGTAGCTCATCCATAATGATGAGCTGCCAATCCAAATGTGGTTGCCAATTTATCTGCCCCATATATACAGTATATTTCCAATTTACTCTACATCCATACCCTTCAAAGTTCACTGCAAACACAAATCAACAAATGATAAGTGCACAAGTGCACCTTCTATATAGTATGAGCATGTTTAAACAACATGTATTTTAACGGACAGAATTTGAGAAGTGGCTATGCTTGTTCTTATGTCCTTTGCACTTTGAATTATTTATCTCCTCAGTAACTTTACTATTTCATTTTAAGAACCATCTTGTTAATTAACTACCTAATAAGAATTTTCTGTCCTATTTTTGCTTTTTAAAAGGGTAAATCTCATAGTATGAAAAAAGAAATTAAAGATAATAAATGCAGCAGCCCTGCAAGAGTTCCAGAAGATGCAAGTCAACGAGTTTATCTCTTTGAGGGTCTACTTGGTAAGAATAAAATTTTAGTTTCATGCATTCTCTAGTCTTTAGATCTTTTCAAAATAAAACTGAGTAGTGATGTGAAGCTACCATGAATTCTCTGTAATGTTTGAATTCTCTGACAGCATTACATACAAATTGTAACTTCATTGTATTCCTTAAAGCATTATCATTTACTTGAAAATATTGGATTGTTCATTTATTCTATGCTTTATGCAGGGTGGCTTTAACATTGTAATTAGCTTACAGTACATGTTTATCTGATCTGAGCAAATAGGTTATTATATTTATCTGAAAGGAAGAAGACTACAAATTTAAAACAATCACCCGTTTTAAAGAGGAGAGGAGACAAAAAAGAAAAAAAATACTGTATGAGGTTTAGAGAAGTTTAAATTCACTAAGCAAAGTACCCTTCCCCTCCTGAAGTAGATCAATCTTCAAGCTATCCCTAATGATCAGCAGTAATGTTTGTGGCTCTTGCATTTCTTGCTATTCATTTGCTTTTAAAAGCTTGTTAGTCACTCCTCACACTTAACTAGGAAGTCAAAAAGATTACTTTTTAACAACCTAAGCTTGACTTGGATGATAGTTTACAGTCTAAAAAGGCATACATTTTCATGAGCTGATTTTTTGCCATCATAGACTAATACAGTTCTTCTTCTATGTTTACTATCCATAAAATTTCATGAAGAAGCCTTCATCCTATAGTGTATTAACAACAACAACAATAATGATGATATATATTTATGATTTAAGTAATTTTGATTGAGGATACTTAAAAACTGTTAAATTCTGAGATGTATATTTAAAAGTACTATCTTGAGATATTATTACAAAGTCTAGCATTGATCATTATATGCTCGTATTAACTTCTCGCTCACTTTAAAAGTATTTTGAAATATTTATTGTGAAAAAACAGATTGATCTGTCTCATTAATCCTTATCAAATGCTTAGATTTGTCATTTATCTTTATTCTCTCTTGCTGCCATGTTGCTGCTTGATTGGAATTGTAAAGGGAGGGATAAAGGATCTGTCTGGGACCAGTTAGAGGATGCTGCCATGGAAACCTTCTCTATGAGTAATCATTTCTTCTTTCTGCTTTTCTGTGTGCATTAAAAAGATCTTGAATGTATGACTTTTCCTTGTTTCTGATTTCTATGACAGTTTCATTTAGGAATATTTGTAGAACAAGAAAGGAAACAATGTGTGCTTTAGAAATAACTTTTGAAGTAAAATCAGAAGTAGCCTATTTAGTGGCATAGAATAAGAAAATATCTAGTTTAATCACACTTTATTATTTGTGGGTGAAATTGTTTATATTCTTCTATCTTATAAAAATATGAAATCTCTGGTTAACAAAAACAATGCTGTTTAGGTAAAGAGCGTTCAACTTTGTGGGATCAGATGCAGTTCTGGGAAGATGCTTTTCTGGATGCTGTGATGTTAGAAAGAGAAGGGATGGGAATGGATCAGGGGCCTCAAGAAATGATTGACAGGTAAAGTACAGATCTCTCCACAATTTCTCTCTGCAATGTGTAAGTTATAACTGAACCTGTTGAGGAATTCAGGGTGCAGTTTTATTCTATATAATTTGTTTACAGGTATAACTATAAGTGTAAATAATTACTACTTATCTACAGAGATTCTGAATCATCCAAGTCATGGTTGTTCCAAAGATGCTTTTTCAAGAGGCAACTGGATTTTCTAGTTTTTCTTTGAAGATGTTTTGCTTCTCATTCAAGAAGCTTCTTCAGCCTCTTGTAAAAGCACCTTTGGGACAATTACTACTTATGTGTAAAATTTTCTTCTTCATAAGCTCTTTTCTGCCTTTGCTCATCTTAAATACAGAGGCTATTAAGGGAAACATTTTATGTAGATTTTAACTATGAGCAGTGTAGAGGATCTTGTAATCAGTGGATTGAATGTTCACTGTTGGCTTTAGTTAATGTATGGTTTTTTCCCTGTAGATATTTTTCTTTGGGAGAACATGACCGAAAACGTTTAGAAGATGATGAAGACCGTTTATTGGCTACTTTGCTTCACAATATGATTGCATACATGATTATGATGAAGGTGCCTTTTTGTTTTTGTATTTTAGATTGGGTCTTGGGATGGGTGATGCTATAATATGTCTTTGCATGATACAGACTGCACTCTTTAAGGTGTTAAAGATCAACTTTTCTCATTCTAGTTGCTAAAGCTTAGGCTTCACTTTCTTTTGAGCTACCTGGAATGTGAGGGGAGGAGAATCTCTGGGAGAAATTATTTATCCCAGAGGGTTGGTTTGCTGATGTAATTTATGTTGGAAATTTATATGGTTGTTTTATCATTCTATAGGTTTTATATTTATATGCTGTTCAAAATCCTTCAGGATTATGATAGATTATAAAAACATTAATTAATTAACAGCAAAACAAAAATGTGCTTATTTGTAGGATCTACTGTATCTGTCTTTGCTCCCAGAACTACTTTGGAAGTGCCTGGTGGGAGTACATTTCGTTTCTTTCAGTTATTTAAAATTATGCTGCTTCAAAGGATGATAAGGCAGGCAGATGAGAGGACAGTGTATATGTCAGACATGTGATCACATATTCAGGAACAATCCAATATTAGTGGCTAGTATAACAAATTGTCAAGCATGTTTGTTTCATTAAAAGTCTTGAAAATTATTAAAATGTTCAACTTGAACTAGTGCCGTCTTGGGTGTATTTACATAGTTTTCTTAATAGCAATATGGAAATGGTTTGTCATTGCGTTCTTTCAGGATTTTTCCAAATTTATTTATTTATAATATGTATACCCTGCTACAATGGTCAACAATATCCAAATTCATCAGAAGATGCATTAAAAGCCCAACTATATAATTCTTGGTGTTAAACCTCCAAAGTCCTCCAAAAAAGCTCAGCTTTGAACTTTTTCTAGAAATATTGGAAATTACATTGAGGAGCCAACCTCCAAAGCAGTGTTTCTTGACATCAGCATCTTTAAGATGTGTGAAATTCAACTCTCAGAATTTCTGGGATATTGGGAGTTGAAATCCACACATCTCAATGGTATTGGAGGTTGAGAAATACTACTCTAAAGGAAGGTCATTTCAGTAGTCTAATAATACTTCATGTTTCAGCCCTCTTGAGATCCCCAAAATGGGAGACAACCAGCTGTTTCTCCCAGCATGATTGAAGTGATTTAGTCAATTCTAATGGAGGGATGCAGTCCTGCAGGTAACCCAATGCCAGGCCATAAAAATATAGTTAAGATCAGCAGTTTAAATTACATCCAGACCTTAATAGGAAGCAAGTACAAGACTTGTAGGTGTAATGTAGGCCCATTGACAAGAATGCATGATTATCTGGACCACTGCATTTTGCCTAGATAGGAGCTTTCAGGTGGTCATTAAGGTCAGCCCCATGTAGAGTGTGTTGTAGTAGTCTAATTGGATTAGACCGTTTGGCTACTGGTTAGACAACTTCCTTGTCTAACCAACAGCCATAACATTCCCTAGAAGTTTCTCATCCCTGCAAGTGCTCACGTGATCTGATCTTGCTCAACTTCTTTATCCAGGCAAGGTCAGCCAAGTATAGCCACACCACCTGAGACTTGTACATACTTGAGATCTTCTCTCTTCTTTATTTAATCAGAGTATTATCTAATTCATGCATTAATTGAAATACAATAAGACATCACATTTTTTAACTTATACTGATGTGTAGATCTCCATAAATGATGGGACAGTATCACTAACGAAGAATTGCATTTTGCTATTTAGGTGCAGAAGAATGATATTAGGAAGAAAGTGCGGCGTTTGATGGGGAAATCTCACATTGGCTTGGTTCATAGTCAAGAAATAAATGATACACTTGACAAGATTTCCAGCATGGTAAGTAAAACATATATTTGTTTCTTTGCTGTGAGGGGAAGAAATAAAACATTACACTTCAGGTTATACTGCCAATATCACTGTTATCACTTGTCAAATATTTGAAAGTATTTAGACAAGTTTGCATACTTTCTAATATGCATAACATGCAATATATACAAGATAATAATTCTGCATCGAGACTAGTCCATAGTCATAAAATATGTTGTTCTTCTTTTGTACAGCTCAGAAGTAATTATTAGAATATTGTTATTCCAAAAAAATATCAATAGTTATTCCAGAGAAATATTCCAGAGTCTTGTTATTCCAGAGAAATAGCAGATATTCCAGAAGAAAGTGGGACTCAAATCTGGGCACTAGTGCATGTAAATGGCATTGACTGACATAATGGTATTTTGTACAAAAAAAGAATATCATTTTCAGGAAACATATTGTTTTTCCTGAACTTCAGTTGCAGTGAGTCTCAGGACTCTCATAAGAAGTTACTGAAGTTCTTTCATATTTTCTGAAACTGATGAGACTTGCAAGACTTTTGAAAGGCAGTAGATAGGCTTTCTCTGCTCTGTGGTCAAATTCTGTTGACTTGAGGATTTCTGAAAAACCAATTGTTTGAACTGAATCTTAGACATTTTATAAAGATTACAAAAGACAGTTTGCTTTTAAAAAGTGGTGTCCATAGTTCAAATAGTGAGTCATGCTTTGCTGTTGAGCTATATCTATATTTTTATTGAAAGACTGATAGGATTCTTTCATTGAAAGTTCATTTATTCATCAGTACAGTAGATTGCTTTGCTGATATATTAGATTATCTTGTAATTTTTCTATTAAAACAGCTAAAATAGTTGCTATAGTTCTGATCTTTTAATGATTCCAATGTACAAATGCTTGAGAATTTTTTTTGTTAACAGCCATTTTTATGTTTTAAGATATATGAATAAAATAAGTAAGACATTGTTTTAAACCTATGGTGCTAATCTAGTCCAATTTAAGTATTTTAATCTCCCATGAGTTATATTAGGTGAGAGTGGCTTTGTATATTAAGAAATTCTGACTTTCAATTATGTAATGTGGGGATTGAAAAGAATGCATCTCTTTTCTTTTTCTTTTCTTTAGACTGGCAGGGAGCTCCCCACCCGACCAAGTGGCAGTAGACATATTAAGAAACAAACATTTGTTGTACATGCTGGCACAGACACAACAGGGGACATATTCTTCATGGAGGTAGATACCAGATTAAATGTTACTTGAATTACTGGGTTGAACTCTATGAAGTTTTATGCATACAACTATTCATGTTTCTAGGTATGTGATGACTGCATTGTGTTGAGAAGCAACATTGGCACTGTGTATGAACGTTGGTGGTACGAAAAATTGATTAATATGACGTACTGCCCCAAAACAAAAGTGCTTTGTCTTTGGAGGAGGAATGGACAGGAAACACAACTGAATAAGTTCTACACTAAAAAGGTATGTTTTCCACAATTTTTTTCTCCCCCCCCCCTCCAAAAGGGAAGATACAAATAATAGTACATTATTATTTTACTGGACATTTTTGTGAAGCACAAGAAATGAAGATTTAATTAAAGTGATGTATTGCTAATCTTGCCTATGCACAAGAATCTTTTCAACTAATGGTAGTAAACAGGAATCTTCTTAAGAAAAGGCTAGCAGCTGCTAGACGTTAGATAAGGCTCAATGGAATTCAAGGGAGATTGGTTTTACCGAATTTTTCGGAGTGTAAGACGCACTGGAGTATAAGATGCACCAAGGTTTTGAAGAGGCAAATTTTTAAAAAGTAGGTAGGTAGATAGAGGGATAGAGAGGGAGAGAAAGAAAGAGAAATACAGTAGGTGGGAAGGTAGGTAGAGAGAGTAGTTAGGTAGGTAGGTAGATAAAGGGATAGAGAGAGAGAAATAGAGAGAGAAATACAGTAGGTAGGTAGGGAGAGAGTGTGTAGGTAGGTAGGGAGAGGGATAGAGAGAGAAATAGAAAGAGATTGAGAGGGGGGGAATACAGTAGATAGGTAGGGAGAGAGAAAGTAGGTAGGTAGGTAGAGGAATAGAGAGAGAGAGAGAGAAATACAGTAGGTAGGTAGGGAGAGTGTGTGTGTGTAGGTAGGTAGGTAGGGAGAGAGATAGAGAGAAATAGAAAGTGTGAGAGAGAAATACAGTAGATAGGTAGGGAGAGAGAGAGAAATACAGTAGATAGGTAGGGAAAGAGAGTGTGTGTAGGTAGGTAGAGGTATATATATAGAGAAATACAGTAGATAGGTAGGGAGAGAGAGTAGGTAGGGAGGTAGAGGGATAGAGAGAGAAATACAGTAGATAGGTAGGGAGAGCGTGTGTGTAGGTAGGTAGGTAGGTAGATAGGTAGAGGGATAGAGAGAAATAGAAAGAGAGAGAGAAATATAGTAGGTAGGGAGAAAGAGTAGGTAGGTAGGTAAGTAGAGAGAGAGAGAGAAATACAGTAAGTTGGTAGGGAGAGAGAGAGTAGGTAGGTAGATAGATAGATGCTTCCAGGTGTATTTATCCAGGTGTATTTATATGTACTGGAGAAGGAAATCGTTGACAAACCTTAAGACTTTGTTTTTGCTGGCACAGCACTTGATCAATGTAATTCTCTTCAGTTAAAGAGCTTTCCAAAAGGGGAAAAAAGTTTTTGCACTCTGCAAACCTCCGAAAAATGGCCCATTTTTCGCGAAAATGGGCCCTCTCTTTTTCAAATAAAAGGCATGAATAGCCTGGGGAGGATTGCAGAGTGCTCCTGGGGGAGGGTGGGGGGTCAAAAAAGAGCAAAAAATGGCCCATTTTTCACAAAAAAGGGCCTGTTTTTTGTAAAAAAAAAATTGCATGCATAGCCTTATGGAGGTTTATAGAGTGCTGCTGGGGGTTGGGGGGGACAAAAATGGTCCATTTTTTGCTGATTTCTGCCCTCCCCACCCCCAGGAGCTCTCTGAAAGCCTTCATAAGGCTATGCACAGCCATTTTGGTGAAGGGGACAGGGCTTCTGGAGGCAAAAAATGCTGTATTCGATGTATAAGACGCACCCAGATTTCCACCCTCTTTTTTGAGGAAAAAGGTGCGTCTTATACTTCAGAAAATACGGTAGTTCACTTGTGGCTATTTAGGAATTCTAGGCTGATTCCTCTTTTAACTCCACACCCAGGATTCTATACTCATTCTCCTGCAATTTTAGAATTTTGGTCCCTAACAAGATTATTTAAGTGCCACTGTGTTTTTTGCACTTATTAGCCTCCTTGGCAAATTTGATTATTTCCACTTAGAAGATAAGTGTGGGTAGCTGTAATTTTGTGCTTTGTTTAGAAGTGTGTCCACCAACTAAGAACATCCCCCTCCCCTGATAAGCTGGAGTTAGAAAGGCGGTCCTTTACCGGTTTGCCTGTTAGTAAATGAATAATGGTCATGTCATTATTTGCCAAATTGTTTGTAATGGAATGTCCTCTTACGTTTGCTCATAAAGGAAAATGTTACTTACATCCTACTTAATCCTCATTTTAGATCATACTCATTCAAAATAGTAGGCTTGAATTTTAACAATCCTAAAAGAAAAGTTATTTTATAAAATGGTAATCAAAATGTCACTTTTACTCCTTTTTTTCCCTTTTCCCCTTCCCTTTCCTCCCGCCTCTTCCCTTCCCTTCCCCAAGAAGCCTTTCTTTTCCCTTAGAAGCACTGAAGTATTGGGGGGATTGTTTCACTTTATCTTCACAGTAATCCTGGATCCTCTGGTGTTTCCAATATACAAATAAAGCATGTTTAAACATCAGCCATGTATATGTAATGCCTGGGTGGCTATCAGAGCAAATCTTTATCTTATAGAAAATCTTTAGGTTGGAAGAGAAAATGCCTTAAATGTATCACTTTCCTTTCTAAAGACAGCATAAACTAAAATCTGATAGAGTGGATACAATCTTGTTTTCTTGAATTACTCGAACTCGAACAGTTCTATGCATAAAAGACAGTATATCTGCACTATAATTGGAGCTAAAGAAAGTTGTCACAGTCAAACATCTCCAAAATGATAGCAATGATCATTCCATAATGTTTGGGTAACCATTATTATGTTTACTTTTGTTTTATGATTTCTTTTTCTACAGTGCTGGTTTTGTTCTAAATAGCAATAATGTTATTGACCTTATTAGATTAAAATTGATGCATTGTGGACACATAATAAGCATTCATAAGCTCCTGAGCAATTTGGGTCCAAAAACTATCACTTAATATTTTGACTAGATTTTGGGAAGATGCAATGCATAAATTTATAATATGGTGGTTTTAATTCGAAAAGTTACTTCAGAAGAACATTGCACTGCCTGAGTCTGATTAAAGCAACTGCATCTTTTCCCAAGATTGTACCAAAGTGATAAGGAGTTCCCGTGAAAAATCACATTGTCATATATCTTTTCTGTCCTTTGCAATTATCCTATTTTGTTAGTTCCATGCTTTATTTACCATTTTGTTTCCTTTTATTTCAACAGTGCCGGGAGTTATATTATTGTGTAAAAGATAGTATGGAAAGAGCAGCTGCAAGACAACAGAGCATAAAGCCAGGTAAGATTTTAGGTTTTTAAAAAATGTCAAGCATTATCAGAACATTTATGTAGCTCTTTTTGTTAAAGATCTGAAAGTATTAAACTTCCTATTTTATCCAGTTTAGCAAAATGGAATTATTTCATTTTTGGATGCTATGTATGTATGTATGAATATATGTATGTATGTGTATGTATTTATGCATGTATGTATGTATGTGTATATCTTTATATACACACATACACATATGCAATACATTACTGCATGATTACAGTTACAGAAAGAAACATATAGCAACTAATTCCAATTAGTGAATAGGATACAGAGAAGTATCTATCTTAGATACTTTACTAAGGCACATTTATGACCTTCACCGCATCGCTCAGTCACGTGATCACCATTAGTACATGTTCTGTATCTGATCTATAGTTTTTTCCCCTCCCTCTCTTGCAAGCAGATAAACTGAAAGAAAAAGGATTGCAAGAAAGGAAGATGTCTTTTGCACATCAAAAGCAATGCAATTCTAATGACAGCCCAGGGCTAAGAGCCATAGGTGTGCTATATATGCAGCTTATAGTATGCTTTTGAAATTTCTTTCTATCCACTCACTAAGGGAAATGGAGAGGAAAAAAAGCAGTCAATCCACCCTCCTAAGTTAAAGTGCAACATTCTGTTAATGTAGCTTTACAATAAAGTGGAATTAGCTCACCTGGTTGTGTTTTCTGTCTCTCAGTGTCATTCCCACATGCCATTACAGCATGGGTGTAAAACTCAATCGTGTCATGTGAAGTCACGTGACGCATCGTGACATTATTTTGCCTTTGTGGAGCTGGGGTGGATGTGGTCTGTGCATGATCCATCCAGCCTGCAGGCTGCCAGTTTTGACACCCCTGCATTACAGCGAAGACCATCTGTAATTTACTCTACAAGCCTTGATGATCCTTCATTCTTTTATGACTCAATGAAAGAGAAGGATCAGGAGAAAGGCATTCTCTAAAATATTGAAATAAGATCTAAACTTATGTTTGTATCATTTATGCAAAGGTTAGAGAGTAAAACTTCATTTATCCCTTTTCTATGTCTCTGTTATAGTGCTGTGTGTATCTATTTTTCAAATCAGTAAAATGTACAAAGTCAATCCTTGATAATGTCAGGAAAGGTTCGCTGCTAAAAGTCGCTAATGCCTATTCATATTTTTAAGGCATTGCTTTTCTTTCAAAGGCATTGTTGGGTCAATATATGTATAATTTGGAAATGTAAAAGTGTGAATCTGTTTCACGTGTGTTTATTGTATCTGTTGTTTAGATGCAAATGTGATTCTTTGAATATTGCTCTGTATATAATAATTGTAAGCCAGCATGGTATAATAGATAATATGTTGGACTGGCATTGGGACAATGAAAGGCCAGTCTCAGTCACAGAAGCTCGGAGGTGACCAATCTTTCTTTTCTCAGCCCAACTTACTTCAGAGTTGTTGGGAGGAAAAATTGGAAGAGAGAATTCCATGGATATAGTCTGGAACTCATTTAGAAAATATGAAATATCAATACAATATTGACAAAAAATATACATATATCAGTATTGTATTGTAGTCTCCTGGCTAATGTAACATTGCCATACACTAAATAAATAAATAACATGGTAAAGAGCAAATGGTAGAGAGAGCCAGGGGAAGCCACTAGTTATTTTCCTTAACTTGTCCTGCATTAAAACTATAACAGGCTCCTCATTGACTGTGTTAATTGAAGCAGAATGTGGCTTGTTAAATGAGGCACGGCAAACTATGCTGGCATATTTCTCTTCCATTTCAAGGATTGAAAGAATGCACTACAATGTCCTGAAGAACAGCCCTAAGTTATCTCATTGTGATTCTGCCTTGAGAGATCTTCTGCATCTTTGAAGTAGAAACTTAAATTGTTCCCGTGGTTCTGTTTTGGAAGAAGGATTTTATGCTAGAAAATTAGTCCTTTTCTTTTTGTGTTAATGATTTGATGTTTGGATATATTTTCTTATTTTTTTCCTCCCTTTATTTTCTGTTTGTGTTATAGGGCCTGAACTTGGTGGGGAATTTCCCGTACAGGATATGAAAACTGGCGAAGGAGGCCTTCTCCAAGTCACACTGGAAGGAATTAATTTGAAATTCATGCATAGTCAGGTAGGAAATTGCCTGTAATAGGTCTTAAAGTAGCATGACTGTTCTTGAAGAACACCAGTAAATGTGTTTCCTCTTCCCTATACCAGAAAATGGAAAGAAAAATGTCACAGCTTTCAATGTTTGTTTCCTTTTAAATTGACAGATTCTTCTTGTTAAGTAAAAGAGGTATTTTTTAAAATCTGCTTTAAAATTGTTTTTAATTATGAGAAGCAGATTAATTTTTAAATGAATGTATATAGGAGTTATTGACTGTTTATAAATGTCAGTAAAATAATAAGAATGGTATTTTTTAGAAACACATGCTTCAGTTTATTTTTAATTAATTTATAGTGAGTTTGTTCATTCATATTTTCTTCATGGTTCAAGTGAAGAAAGTTTTTTAATTGAAAAATAGCCATTGAGATGATAGTGTGCATTTGGTTATGTTAGATTTCTGCAAAGCACCTCAAGCAACATTTAACAACCCTGGGTATGCTCTGACAGATTGCCTAAATGTGGCACTGAAATATATTAGCCAAACATTGCAAAGCAGTTTTATTACCACTTATATCTGGTTTATTTATACTGATTCTTATTCCATGGAAAAAGGAATTAGAATTGGCAATTGCAAGTTATTTTTTTAAAATAGTTGTCCTGCATCATATGTTTTTCTTGTGGTTAAAAGTACTCTGGGCAACATACCAGGCAAAGAGATTTTCTCAAAGTAATACAGATATCTTATTTTGCTCCCTTTATTTATAGAGCTTTATCTCTGGGTATAGAGGAAACACAAATGGAATTATGTGCCACTTTTTTTTCTTTAGATGTATGTTCTTTTTGCTTCTCCTATTCAATGGTTTTATTTTGCTTCATGTTCATGTTTATTTTGCAAATAATGTACATTCAGTTTTAGGGTTTTGTGTGCTTGTATATCTGTGTGTAAGACTGTATAAGAATGAGACAAGGGGAGAAAAGTTAAATTTGTCATTCAGTCTTTTGTGCAATTGTCTTTATATTATTTATTTTGGTAAGTTTAATTGTTTTGGTGTCTCTGAGAACCATGGACTGTGCTTCAGAACCCCTGAAAATACATGCATTGAAAATATACATGCATTTGAAGGTTCCTTTGAAATTTATACTGCAGTTACATGCAGTACTCAGGAGAGAAGTTGCTTTTCAGCTAAAATTATATGTAACTATTAAAGAGTGCAACGGTACTTTTTATTTTTCTCTAATTCAGTGGTCCAGTCCGCACATGGGTATATATTCACGCCTGATTCCAAGTCCCTGATGAATGAACAACATATTATTGTGTCAAACTTGTTACAATAAAAAAGAAAAATGCATAAACGGAATTAACAATAATATGGCATTGACATTTACAGGGAAGAAAAGCAAAGGAAGTGCAGAGAAAAAAAAATGGGTCTGGCAATTTATGTCATGTACAAAGCAAGTCTCCCCCAAACCCCATAAGTAAACTGTGCAGCTGTCCTCTTCCTTGCTCCTTTCTAAAATCAATAATAATGACTCCCGCAAGGCAAATATTGACAGATCACACACATTGTTGAATATTAGATGCAGGTTTGTCCTTACAATGTTATGCATTAATTCTTCATACCCAAATGATCATCAAAACTGGAAGAAGTGTTTTTTTTTTTTAGGGAAATCCATTTTTAAAGCAGAGTTTGGACAATGTATGTTTTGTTGTTATGTTGAAGATAAATGTGAAGAGTCATACCCTCCATAGTAGCCATTTTGAGACTATGCCACTGATTCAATACGTCTCCCAAATCTAAAAATATTGCATTCTGGATTCCTTCTTTTGAATGTATTGTAGAATTACAACTATAATGCACAGAGATGAAATAATTTAAAGTCATTATATAAAGCCAATTTCTTCAAATTTTTAACACTCTATTACAGTGCTTCTTGATCTTGCCAGCTTTAAGATGACTGAACTTCAACTCCCAGAATTGCCCAGCTAGTCATGTTGGCTAGGGAATTCTGGGAATTAAAATCCAGACATCTTAACTTTACCAAAATTGAGAAACAATGCTCTAGTTCTGTTATTTTGGCAGCTGCTAAAGTCTAGAGCAGGGCTGTCAAACTCCTGGCCCACAGGCTGGATGTGTCATGCGCTGGCTGTGCCCACACCCAGCTTAGCAAAGGGGAAGAAAGTCCCGATATGTCATGTGATGCCGCCGTGATGACATGAGTTTGACACTCCTGGCCTAGAGGGAGACTATGGCGGAGAGTTGATTCCCACCTGCATTGTGATGATAATGCCTGTTGTATCCTTAATGGATTGAATTCTGATAGAAGGTAGTGGAGAAAGGGAAACATCTGTGATGTTTTCTCTAGGACTTTCCTTGAAAGGTGTATTGGAGCTGGTCTTTACCTTTAAAGAACAGCATATCATTGGAACAATGCTTCTGATTCTTGATACCTTAAAATGAATGGATTTTAACTCCTGAATTCCCAAGGGAGCATGGCTCTAGGCATTACCTAGTCACACATCTTTAAATTGCTAAGATTGAGAAACACTTCACTGCAATTATGCTGGAAAGGATAATTATAAGAGTTCTAATGCTGGTATGCTGCTTTGGGAAAGTACTTCTGAATAAAAGTAAGCATTCAATGATTTACAAGAATGATAAACTGTAAAATTGCAACTCAAAGCATTCTTTGAATGTGATTCATGGCAAAGCTTTAAGAAAATATGATAAGCATAAACAGATTTATTAGTTGTCTTTTTAAAATGAATTATGGGTTATTCCATTTCATTTTAATACAAAATTCTGTACCTAAACAACAAGAATTCATTCTTTGAAAAGTCTGTCTTTTGCCTTCCCCAAATTACTTTTTTTGTCAAGAGCATAAAATTAAGCTACAATTTATTGGTTATGTATTTATCCTGGGGATAGGATTTTAAAGACAAGTATATTGTCTATTGGTCTATATATTAATCCTGGATTATTATAAATACTTGCTTAGTGTTCATAACTGAACTGCCACATAACAAGATTATTAAACAGTTCTGCTTTAATTAATCTAAAATTTAATCAAATTACATGAATTTAAGATTTGAACAGTAGACTCAGTTTGGCTTTTTTTGTTTGGATTTTGATTGCTTCCTGACTATTGTATCATTTATATATGTGTATACACCCACACACCCACACATGCATAAGTTGCTAATTGTATATCATCCAGAATAGTATGGGAGCCTATACATTTCATAAATTTTATTTATTTATAAATAAAATGATAAATAGAAAATTAATTAGTAATTGTAGAGGACCACACAATGGATATTAACTGATATGTTATATTTATTTTAAAATACTTTTGTTACTGAAAATTTGTTTTAGCACATTTTGCTTCTAAAAAAACATACTAGAACATTTGCAAGGATGCAGACTTTCCCAAAAGAGGAAATAATGATGTGAATCTGTTGGATGAAATACAGGAAACATTATTTATGGAGACATAATTGACAATACAAACATCCTGGCAATGTAATCAATGATTTGAGCAAGAAATTCAAAAAAGACATAAATAATTGCTTTGTTAAAATGTTTTAAAATAGGCATACCACAGCTTTTAAATAAGTCCCCAAGCTTCTCCACCTATTGGTGATGTATCATTTGGGGGACCCATCGATCTCCAATATGTCAAATTATCCCTTTCTTACTAGAGGTTTGCTCATCCCATTTTTAGAGGAATATGTGCTGTGTTAACCAATCCTGCTGAATGTTTCATGAGCATTCAGGTAGCGATTTTTAGAATACGTCTTCCAAGGAAGATGCCTAAATTTATGAAGTTCAAAGCAAGCAGGAAGGAAAACTGCTGGTTTATAATGACTGATAATTTGATGGATGTTATTATAAGTTGTAGAGAATTAAAAGCTCTGTGTAGGGAAAATAAATATACTTGGGACGCTGCTGACAGCATTTTTATTACTGCTGGGTGACACTTAGTAGAAACAATAGAAGTCCTATAAATAGAAGTCCTATAAATGTGAAGAGAGATTTTCCTCACAGCTGCAGTGGTTGGTTAGTCCATTTATAAATCCATTAAATAATATATTGTTATAGAAAGACATATTATTAAATACTAGTTTTTAATATATTTTATTAACATGTCATTAATATTAGATGGCAAGAAGTAAATATACTGTTACAACTTCAGGAGGAAAAATCCTGAAAATTGTGTAAAAAAATTCTATTTCTACAATTTATGATCATTCTTGCATGTTTTCATATACTTACTTATTAACTGCCCCTTCCAATGCTTGATTATTAATTTATTATAAGTTTGAAGATGGTTACTAACATGCCAATGGCTGTTATTTAAATTTTTGCAGCTCTTAGAGGCCTATAGACTAACTAAGGTTATAAAATATATTTTTAAAGAAATCAGTATTTTTTATAGATCATGCCATATCAGTGGTGGGTTGCACTTACCTTCACTACCGGTTCACTGATCGCACACCTGTTCCATTCGAGCACGCACCTGACTCTTGCTACACATGCGTGCACAATCCACAACCCCTGCAATAACCAGCTGATTGTTGGTGCTCGGGCAGTCGCCACACACTGTGTCCGTGTGCACAATTTGCCTTTTGCCATAAAAATAAGTATAGAGAGCAAGTGGGCAGGTGGGCCAAAAGTGCCATGGTACCTGTTTGCTCTCACTTGCTCCGGGCCACTACTGTTTCAGCTGAATCTTGCTGAACTGGCAGCAACCCACTGCCTTATGTTGGTTAGTAAAATGGTAACTGTAGTTTTTTTTATATGAAAGATTAAACATTTTATTTATAATTGGCACAGATAGCTGTTACTAAAACAAACACTTCTCCCTAAAAATTTAGTTTTAGTTTTGTTTATTAGAACAGGAAATAAATTTGTGTGTACTGTAATTATAGCAGAACAGGTTTGTTCATTTCTGTCACGTTACTTTCACTCTTGCTCAGGCTGTTGCATACTTAGTTGTGGCATCCTATAGTCACAATTACTGTTGCTGACCTTCTCTGCCAGCTTCCCACAAGTAAAGTTAATAGGGAAGTCACATTCCAACTGGCAAGGAAGGTCACAAGTCACTCAGGTCAGTCTGCCTCAACATGGGCCTTTTCTTTACTTGTACACACAAGGACCTTCCTTTCCTAAACTGCCTGCACTTGTACAAAGCCATGCACCTACTAGCACCTTCCTTACTTGACCTTCCTGTGCACATGCATGCACATGCCCCCTGCCCTCTTTCCCAGCCTTTTTGGCTTTGCATACACACATCCCACACCCTCTTTCCAATATCTCCTTGTGCTGGTGCATATGCATACACATATGCACACATTTCATCCCCTCTTTTGCTGGAGTTCTTGTGCTCACACACACATTCACCCTGTACCTCCCCCCCCCATCTTCCCTGCACTTGTACAGCTTTTTCTGGCCTCCTTGCAATCATACATATGCATGCAAATACCTCACACCATCTTACCTCAGCCATTCTGAGCTCATGCCACACTGCAGTACTCCTCCAAATTGTGTGTATCCTGCACTGGGCCTGTTATGGCCTCCCGATTCGCTCTGTGGCACCCGTAAGCTTTCTAACTGGAACTCCCTCTACTTCCCACTTAATGACCCATGTGTCTTGGGGTTACAGTGACAACTGGTATTGGCTGGATTGCTATCACTAAGCGATGCAGTCATCTGACTTCCTGCTTTACAACTACATTGCTTAGTGATGGCAATCCCAGTCCCTGTTGCCATCAGAACTTGAGATCTGTATATTGGAATTTGGGTGCGTGCCATTATTTTAAATTGATTTAGATATATGATGTGTCTCTAATTTTTGGTATTCTGTATTTTGTTTTTGGGACAATTATATATAATTCTGATAGAAAATCAATACATAGAGGTTTTGTCAACATTTATATTGAAAATGTTGACAATTTATATTGAAAATGTTAAAAATTTTCCTAGACTGCCTATACATAATTTCTAAAGCCCAATCTTATTTCAATAGAAAATTTAGATTCTTCTCTTCATCGAGGTTTTAAATATCTTTTCTTATAAATATCTATTCTGTTCCTAGCCTTGTTTAACTATTGTTCCCATTCAATAAGGTTAAGGTTTGTTGTAAGAATTTCAAGCACCTGTGAAGCAGGGGTGGGTTCCAGACGGCTTTACTGCCGGTTCACTTGTGTGAGCACTTTATGTGTGTGTGCTGGATATGCACTGCGCACCCATGTAAGAACTCAAAAACAAGATGGCAGCAGCGACGGCAACAACCAGGGAGCCGGCTTGGGGGTTTGGCAGGCCTGGGTCGCTGCCAGTTCCAGTGACCCAGATTGCCATACCACTACTGATTCAGCTGAACCGGTAGGAACCCACCACTGCTATGAAAGCCCTCGCACCTCCAAAATTTGCATCAAGTGATTATTTAGTCCTTTGGAACAGGATTGTGAGTGGTGCAGGGGATAATAGAGAAAGGGCAAAGATTCTAAACAATCTTACTATTTCTCATTATCCAAGATAATGTTTTGCTACCAAAAAGAGAATCCCTTTTGTTAGCTAATTGGAATGATGGTCTGAAATACATTTATGCAAATGTCATAATACTTGTTTGGTAGTATGAGAGGAACATAACCTTTTGTAATTTCTGCAATTATAGGAAAATCTTACAGTAATTATAGTACTTTTTCATTTGTACCATACTAAAATAATTGTACAAACATTTGCCATTTTATGAGCTTTTTTTCCTTTTAGAAAATACAATTATCTGGGCCTGGACATTTTAAAGTGGCATTTGAGGTGTTTAGACAAAACTGGTTATCATCTTAAGCTAAATTTCCAGGACACATTTATTTTCTCCACCCACCCCATCACAATAAAAAGACTAGCTTGCTTTTTTATTCCTTGGAGTTGATATCAGTACCGTTCTAAGAAATACTTGGGAATTCAATTACTGGTAAAACTAAGATGTAAATATTCTTTTGTATAGATTTTCTTTTTGCATCCCTTCCTTGTAAATAATAAATTGCTCCTCATTCTGACTGAAATTAATGGCATTACGTTTTGGAGGATGTGGGTGGATGTGTGAAATGATGCTGTGGCCATTAAAATCAGAGCACTTGCAGATTTGATTTCTGATTCACAGAAATAAAAAAAAATCTATTGCTTTTTTCATAACGTCTGTTTTCTTGGCACTTTGTGTCAAGGTACAGCCCATGAAACATAGCAGACAACTGGTTTGGGTGGGAAGCATGGCACCTCTTGCCTGCCCTCTGTGCTGGAGGAGGATGCATGGAGGGGTAGATATTTGATGGGATGGGACAAGATTACAAATCAGAGACCAAAATTGGGAGTATTCTTTGTCCCTTCTTTTGTTGTATTTTGAGGTGTGTGGTTTTTCCCCCCCCTCCCCGCTTTCTTTCTTTTACTGAGTGCCTGAAGGGAGTAGCAATGTTGAATTATGTCAGAGTTACTAACTCCTTCGTTTCTCTTCCATGCTTTCTCCTCCTGCAAGGAGCGGAAGGTACTTCATCTTCTGCTGTCTTAGCTTCTTAGCCTTTTAAGTTGTTTGTTGATTTCTAGCATTGTGGCAAGTTTTCAATATTTACTTTGAAATTCCTCTTTCTTTTGGTTTAAATAATTGTAGCTTGATTAGTAGTATGAACTACAACATCTCACACATTCCAAGTTATACCTGCTGTGGTGTGCATTTTTATGTTTATATTATTTAGAAAGGATTTCCTCCTTTAGCCTAATCTTGTCTTTTTTCCTCCTGTTTTCTTTCAGGTTTTCATAGAGCTGAATCACATTAAAAAGTGCAATACAGTGCGTGGCGTCTTTATCCTGGAAGAATTTGGTAATTACATTATTTTGATATTAGGTTTGTACCTGCATGGCAGTAACTCAAATTTCTAGTCCTCTCGGAGAGGCAGAGCTGTAGCTCTTTTAGACAGTAGGCTTTGTTTGCTAAGATGGCAGAGGAACTAAAGATTGATTGAGGAAATGTTCGAAAATAAAGGTGAAAATTAGTAAGCTTGTGGCATTCTTCAGTGAAACGACAAAGGAAGACTAGTGATTTCAAGGAGACAGAAAGAAGCATTGATCTCTAAGTACCTTAGCAGCCTGAAAATTGTACTAATTATTTAAATAAAACTGTTTCCAGGTGTCATATGAAATATCATGTTATGGGAATGCTGTTTGATAAAAGTCATATTCACTGTAAATTTGCTAGTTTTAGATGCTTTGGAATCTTTGTCACATCTGCTATTAGCACGTCTAATGTTCTTGAATTTTTGAACTGAATCTTTCTTTTGGCTGCTTGAAACAATTTGAATGAATTGAGTAATTGCAATATGGTCATTTTTCATGGGGACAAATTAAAAAAGGAGGTGCAAGGAGAAGAATTTGTGCCACACAGAGTGCAGTTTTTTAAAAATCTGAGTAGAGATATTACCATCGTGCATACCCTTTAGTGTTAAACTCAGAGGTGGGTTTCTGCCAGTTCGGCCTGGATTGGGCGAACCGGTAGTGGCGGCAGCAGGAGGCTCTGCCCACCCACCCAGAACACTTCTGTGCATGTGCAAAAGCATTGTGCGTGAGTGCACACACATGAGGAAACCGGTAGTAAAAAAATTGGAAACCCAACACTGGTTAAATTGTTGTACAGAGCACATAGAAAAGGCTTATGAAATAGTCAGCCATAGAAATTTAAAAATAAGAAACAGAAGCATGGCTAAAATTCACACAATCACCATAATTTCTTCTTGATTTTCTATAATATCAACCATCCTTTTTTCCACCTTATCCATGAACGTGCCATGGCATTGCCTTTTGTTATTTTATTGTGAGTAACTTAGAGTAATTGATATGAATTATTAGTTTGGAATAATATATAGGTAATCTTTGCGTTATATCCATTTATTTCAGTGATTGTGCAAAATTATGATGGCACTGAACAAATGATTGTTATTATTGGTCCTGAAAGATCATTGCAGCTCTCCTATGGTCACACAAAATTTGGGTGCTTCACAGCCAGTTCACATTTCCGGATGGTTGCAGTATCCCATAGTTATATTTCCTGCCCTGCGTGAAATACCTCTGCTTCAACTCCCCACACCCTACTATCTTCATTCCCCATCTCTGCCTTTTTGACTGCTTTGTACTCTTCTGCCTACCCTGTTGCCACCCCAGCTGACTTTCATTGTCTTCTTCCCACCTCTGCTGGCCTGGAATCCAGGCACTGGGTGAGAGTACAAGCCCAAGACACATGCAGCAGGATGGTGGAGCCTTGGCTGAAGATGGGAAGGAGATAGGCAGGTAGGGAGAGCTGAATTGGAGGCCGTTCACACAGGGCAGGAGAAGCATGAGGCCTGGCCTAATAACTGCAGTTTGAATAGGAGGTTGCCGTTTCTACGGTAAGTGGGGTGGTCACATGATGCTTAATGTGTATTCTGCTTAGTAATGGAAATTCTGGTTCCAATTTGGGTCATAACATAAGGACTAGATGTAAATGTTGAGTTATTCTATTTTACATTTGCAAATCAGCCTGTAAAACTTCAGGCTTCAGGCCTGTTATCTGCAATTAATTAGAGAAACTTCTCTATCAGGGAGCAAAGAGAAAATACAGTATCTGCTGTGAACTCCACATAGGTGTCAGGAAATGCATCTGGCTAGTAAATGCTCAGCTCCATTCAGTTGTCCCGACTCCACCCTGAATTTAAAAGAGTAAATGGTTGTTAAAAGAAAAAAAATATTGTCATCATCTGTTGCTGTACATTTTTCTTCCATTGGAATTGTTTGCAGGTGTCTTTTTTAATATTACAACCTTTGGGAAATCCTTCTCCCATTAGTTTTTCCTATGGTTGTATAGCAGTTATCATTATTTATTATTATCTGTTTTTTGAAGTTCAAAATAAATATTTGGTTATCTTTAATTTTAGATTCCCTTAAAATCTAGAACACTGGTATTACATAGATATATACCCCCAACATTTCTACTTCATCCTTCTCAACTGTGCTTTTCCTATTGATTAACACTGAATAAAGAACAAATGGTTACTTGTGATTTATTTTCCTCTTTTGAAGGAAAATATTGTCAGAAATCAGATCAGGAATTTCCTTAAAGGACTATGCTTGACACAGCTTGTCCCCAACTTCCTGGCACTATAATTTCATGCCTCTTTCAAAGATCTGCAATTTGCTTTTGGTAGACATTATTTATGTCGTCTCCTTAAGCAAACAAGCAATGGTGGACACAAATAGCAATATTGTTATTTTTTCTTTCGCATTTAAATGAATTGTTCACTAATTTCCTTTTATGAGGAGGAATGGATCTTTTTAACATATAGTGCAAATAAAGGGGGGGGGGTGACATAATGCCTCATGACATCACAACACAAACTCAGAATATAGAATAACAAAATTGGAAGGGATCTTGGAGGTCTTCTAGTCCAACCCTTTGCTCAGGCAGGAGACCCTATACCATTTCAAACAAATGGTTATCCAATCTCTTCTTAAAAACTTCCAGTGTTGGGACATACACAACTTCTGGAGGCAAGTTGTTCCACTGATTAATTGTTCTGTCAAAAAATTTATCCCTAGTTCTAGGTTGCATCTCTTCTTGATTAGTTTTCATCCATTGCTTTTTATCCTGCCTTCAAGTGCTTTGGAGAATAGCTTGACCTCCTCCATAGCTTATGTAATTGTGTCAAGCATTAAGATAACGAATCTAACAACAGCTTTGTGTGGTGTCACTATTGTGCTCATGTCATTCCCCATCACTGAATGGGAATACCTGTGGATACCCGTGACAATGAAATTCCTATTCCCTTTGATTGCTTCTTTCTTTCTGAACAAACTGTACCTTTATAAGCCACTCACGGAAATCATCCCATTAGTGTCTGTTATATCTATTAAATTATATATGCCCTTCTGTATTAGGATCTCAAGCTTGCTTTTGTTTCCTTTCTCCCCCATAGCATTAGTGTATAAAGAGTGAAGGCCTTCAACGTTATCAGCCAATAATCCTTTTTATTTTTCTGTAATTGGCTCCACTTCAGCAAAATTCCAAGTTTCTATAGTTCCTAGGGTGGCCTTATCCGAAACCATTATTTCAGTAGGTTTTGTCCCCTACTCCACAGGTTCCATTTAGGACTTTCCAATCAAACTTACTGTGCTTTGTCTGAACACATTTTTACTAGTCTTTATGTGGTCCAGTCCTCCTTATGTCTATAATGCATCACTGAGGTAATTTAGACCCTGGCAGAAACTACATGTCTGCAATCAGCACCTAATGTAATAGTTTGTAATTGGTTTTAAAGTGTTTTCCTTTTCCTGTGGAACTTCCTTGGCAAACTCCTTTCCTTTCTATTCACTTGCTCCCTTGAACCTGACTGCTTTATATTCTTCTTAATGCTTCTGTTTACTCAGAGGAAGCAGTCGTTCCGACCACCTTTCAATTAACAGCTCTGGTTGCTTTTTGGTCATTATCTATTAGTGGATGATCACTTTTATTTCATAGAAAATATGCGCAATTCTGGCAACTGGCCTTGTAACTAAGTCCAATATTCTCAGCTGTGGTAATGTAAGTTTGGATACATTCTGCATCTCTGTGGGAGGTTTGAATGCAGCTTCTCTATGTCATATCTAACCGATAGACTTTGATGCCCAAATTTCCAGGGGTAAGGCTAAGATCTTAGCCTTATAATTAGTAATAATAATTAGTATAGAGCAGTGATGACGAACCTTTTTTGGCTCGCGTGCCAAAAGCGGGGGCAGTGCAGGGGGGTTGTGTGTGGGCATGCCACACCCGTAATGCAATGTGCATGACCCCAGCGCACATGCACGCATGACCAGTGCTCCCCCCCATTTTTGGTGTGCCTTTTTCACCCTCTCCAGGCTCCAGAGTCTTTATAGGAGCCTGGGGAGGGCGAAAACAGCCCCCCCCCCCCCACCCTCCCCCAGAGGCCCTCTGGAGGCTTCAGGAGCTTCCCTGAAGCCTCCAGAATGCAAAAAACTGGCCCTACAGGCAAACTGAAAGTTCAGGAACGTACTTCTGGTTTGTCTCTAGGGCCGTTTTTTGTCCTCCTGAGCCTTCAGGGAAGCCTCCTGAAGGCTCTAGAGGGCTAAAACTGGCCCCACGAGCAAACCGGAAGTATGTTTCCAAACTTCCGGTTTGCCCGTAGGGCCAGCTTTTCATGCTCCAGAGGCTTCAAGGAAGCCTCGGGGGGGCGAAAAATGGCCTCAAAAGAAGGCCGCAGTAAACTGGCCAGCTCGTGCATGCGCGCTGGCCAGCTAACGGCAACATCTTGCATGCCTTGAAAAATGGCTCTGTGTGCCACCTGTGGCACGTGTGCCATAGGTTCGCCATCACGGGTATAGAGTCTCATGTTGTTTGAAATAATTTAATTGATGAGATATGTCTGAGTTGGAGTGCTCTGTTGCAATGAATTGTTCCAAAAAAGTAGGAAGCATCAGATTCTTGGCTCTGAAATTTGAGTTACTGCTATGTACTTGTGCTTTAGTTTTATTGTGGCCCCTTCACTATCGCTGCTATGAAAACCTTCATTCTCCAGCAGGTAATGTGGTCCTTCATCCCTATCCTTTGCTAGTACTGTATATGCTCATTAACAGGGCAAGAGACTGCAAGATGTACTTTTGTTTATTTCTTCTTTTAATCTATTTAATTTGAGCAGTATCAAAAATAAAATGCAATTCTGGAGGGCGGGGGAAGAGGGCAATCCTTTTTCGGAGCTTCACTGTTAAACTCTTGTATGATAGAGATATATTATTCTTATTCTTTACACTTTAGAATTCTTTTTTAACCTTATTTTTAATTCTTTTCCTTATGGAAAGGTTATAGCTGGTATATGTAGTCAGTATGATGGTGCCCTTCTAAAATGATATTTAAATGTCAGATTTTGCATTTTTTATTCTGACTTGTCTTTCCCTCTCAAGGCCACTTCTGTCTGATTTACCTGTTTGCCTTTTGAAATCACATACTAACTGCAAAGAAATATTTGTGTGGTTCTTTTTGTAATAATTTATGGGTAATACAGAGTTAGTCTCAGAATTATGTGATACTAATAAGTAAAATAGTTTCAAAAGATTTTTTTTTCCAGTTTTCTGAATTTTGCATCCTTGACCATGTATGGACTTCATATGGATGAATTTTTTTAGCTCTCCAAAATATTGATTTCATATAATATCAACTTATTGTCTCATTCTTCTTTAATAGAGTCCTGTCATCTTTAGTATGTATTGCTTAATCTTTACTGTGTTCCATTAAGTCTCTGTAGTAGCACTTTTTTCTCTTACATAAAAAGGGTATGTTTGGATTTTGTTTGCATTTCCCCCCACATATATTAAAGTCAATTGTTCATAGATTGACTGCTATTTTTTTTCTCTTAGTAGGTAATATGATATTTATTCTACTCATCCTTCCCCATGTAGCCCTATATGATCCGGTTTCCTTCCTAAAATGGATATGTTTCCTGTTTGGTGTTAAATGATGAAGCAACAAAGCTAACATGGATTATCATTAATTAGCAAAGAAAGAATTTAGAATTCTGCTCCTATTTTGGTTTTAGAATGTAGATCTTTTTGGATACTTTTCAACTGTTGGCCAAATGCTCAGGAAGAACAAACCTTCCTTAGAGACACTTTTATTACACTAAGGGCATTTAGAAGTTGATCTTTCATTGGGAACATGATAGAATCTTTATATGCCTAAGTACATTTACTTCCAGTTTATTTGTGGATGCATTTCATCAATATTAGGAAATAGTTGCTAAAACTATTTTCTGGTATAAGTGGGACAGACAAGAGCCAGCAGTTTTTGGAGCTTGGTAAATGTATTATATACCAAAATTATCTATAGAAGAATTACTAGGATATATTTTAAAAAATCATATATTATTCAGAGGAATCCCAAATGAATATATATCCTAAAGTATTTGTCACTGTAAATTACTTATATTTCTATGGACTTGGGTGAATTGTTACAATTGAAGAATATAGAATTAGTTAAAATGTCTTTTTCCTGCAGCTGTTCTATGTTTCCCTTGGACCTTTTGTTACCTTTGGGAACATTATACTATTCCTTTCATTTTTTCCTCTCGTTTTTTGAACTCTTTGTTTTGTCTCTTGCCCGTCCGGTTTTAGTTCCTGAAACTAAAGAAGTGGTGAGCCACAAGTACAAGACACCAATGGTAAGTTACTTACTATGATTTTTTGGTTATTTTTCAAAGGTTTTGTTTTCATGCCTAGCATTCAAGATTTTGAAATAATATGTATATGACCAATTTCAAAAATTATATATCAGAAATATAAGAACTGTAGGAAATACACTAGGCTAATGATTTTAGAGAGTGCAACAGAATTTGATAGCACAATATTTCATCAGATTGCTTGCAAGATTTATGGTAGCTCAAATATTCATCACTTTATCTTAATTAACATGGCAGTTGAACTACCAATGATTAAAAGTTTATTTTTTGTATCTCATTTTTCAAAGTGGTAGGTGAATGTAACTTAATATGTCTACTTTGAGCAAACCTGGCACGTCATGGATTCATTTGGAACATAAATATATTAATAATTCTCACTCCTATGAATTAAGGTTAGAATGCTGGCTTTTATTCCATAGAATAGTTGGGCCATGATATTTAACTTTTTTGAAATTCTTTATTGTATCCATGAAAGTACACCAGAAAATTGAAAAAGATTTATACCCAGCGGTATATTTGCATTATTATCAAATATAAAAAAGACACTTTTCACTTAGCATTTAGAACATAAGTACAATACTGTATGCATAAGTGAAATTTAAATAACACTTTCTTTAAATATTACACTGCAATGCAAAAGTACAAAGTCATACAAAGTTACACATCTTTCTCTGAAAAGGATTTAAGGGACAGGTGGAAGACAAGCAGTAAGATTATATAAAGATTAGGGATCCTTAGTGATCTCTGAGTTTGATTGTTTTCTTGCAGACGTTTTATTACCCAAACTAGGTAATACCAGTGCAGTAAATAGAGATTAGAAGAGTATTTAGTAGCTAACAATTATATTTATAAAGTCATTTAATTAGGAGAAGAAAGATAAGGTCCCTGAACTGAGCAGTGAAAATATTTAATTTTAGAGATGAAACTATGATTACATACCAGCAAAGTCCATGAGAGTTCATATCTCACCTTCTCACCATTCCTCTCTATTTGCTGCCAACATGGGATTTAGCAATTAAATTATATTTGGATTTAGTACAGGTGATTCAACTATAAACAAAATTTACAATTCATTGGACTTTAATTATGCAAGCATAAAATGTGTGCTTGCTTATTCTTATCAGTGATGGAGATGGAGGAATTGCCCACATCAAGACATTATGTTTCATCTTTGCATTTCATCTTATACTTGCTCTAAAAGTAAGAAAACTTTACATCTACATATACCCAACTACCCAGCACCTGATTATCTTATTTTTTGAATGTCTTCTAGGCTCATGAGATCTGCTATTCGGTATTGTGTCTCTTCTCTTATGTGGCAGCAGTGCGTGGGAAAGAGGCAGAAAGCAAAAGCAAACCACCTCGTCCAGTGTCCAGCTGATCAATGTTATTGTTGGAAAACACATTGCCATGCAGTTTTCTCCTTTCTTTTGCGGTTGTACAAGTTCACATGAACACCGTTCATATATAACCCCATTCATTTGAGTATATGACCCCGCAAATCCTCTTTATGGAAATGAAATTTCATAAGCACATTCAGGCCTGTGCTTAAGATATTCTAAGCATTTGCATTCTGTTTATCACCTTCTCTTTTGTATTTAGTTTGTCAAGATGGCTCATATGACACTCCTTTTTATCTCCAGTTGTACTGTTGTTTGTTTAATTTATAGGCATATGCCTTCTGTTTCAGATTTGTTATTGTGTGCATTGTGCAAGTCACTCACTCTTGCCTGGATCACCTACTGTTGCTGCTGTTCGGATGCTTACTTTTACTTCCTTTCTTGTTTTTGGTACTTAGAGAATCCTTGCCAATAGCCCTTTTGTAGACTTCTTCAATCCTTTCCACATCAAGGGTTGGAATAGATGTAAAATTTCTGTCATTGCGTCATCAAAGGAATGGCTAAAGATCATACTGCAGGTGTGATTAAATAGTGATCTCATGATCAGTATGCATGTGCTGTACATACTATTTTAAACATAAGACAACAATTTTGCTGACATTCCAGTTCAATTCACTAGTATATACTCATAGACATAAATAGGTTTCTTTATGATAAGTGTATAGAATTAAATGAGGACAGGAGAAAAGCCACCAAAACCAAGACAGTATGATTGGTTTGAATGTATGAGATATTCATGTGAAGCCTGAGTGTGTGCAGTGTATTGTTAGAGATACATCCAGTTATTAAAAAGTTGTAAGCATGCACAAATGTATCAGTAGCACTGTATCTTCTCATTTTATGTCCCTTTAGCCACGTCTTTTGTCAGTCTATTAATGTTCATTTTTAAAAAACAAAACGTCACTGTGTAATGAATTTTCCCTTTCTGGTAAATTTCCATTTGACAATTGTTGAGTAGGATGAAAATAAAGGAATTCTCTTTCTACTTTTCATGGACTATACTGGACTCTAATGCAAAAATACACCAAGGTACTTGAAGGAGAAAATTTACAGTGGAGAAGAAACTGTAGAACATCTGGCAGACTTCTCTGGCTGATGTTGAAGTACCACAGAAGTGATAACATTTCTAGGCAACATGGCTTTAGGAATCGTTGGGCTTGTTCTGCACAATTTAATCTGTATGACTGTTGAATTGACTGCACTATAAAGAGTGGGAGGGGGGGAAGAAATGTACATATTTCAGTACCACATATATTTATAGAAAAGTGTACAGTTGTCTGAATGTTAAATTAAAATGCAATTAAACCACTGTTGCCTCTTGTGAAATCTTATTAGTATTGCGTACCATGTGCATGACTTCAATTTCAGATAAAACCAAAACTGAAGGAGCCATCTTTAAAATATATAATTAACTCTCATTTGAAAAGACTAGGTAGAAGGAGGGAGCATTTATTATGCATAGATGTTGATTAAATATGAAAGCACCTTAATACAGCTTAATTATATCTTTATTAAAAAAGACAACTGATGCAGAAAATTCATTCATTTGAAGCAAAGCCCTTTGCATTGTGTCCAGGCTGTGTCCATGTGCACGTGTGTAATTGTGTGTATGCTTTTAAAGTATTAAATATTTGTAATTTTAGGTTTTAGAAGAAGGAAATTCTCTAGAGGTAAAGTGGGAAACATAGCTCAATATTTGGACTGATTCACATCAATGTAATGTCATAGCACCTTCAGACTTATAATGAAATGAAGTGCACATTTCTTCTTAACATTTTTCACTCTACAGCAAGTTCGGTAAATTTTGAACAGGCATGGAATTTAATTGGCTGTAATTTTATATTTGTGATCCACTATGAAATACCATGCAAATAAATTATTTGCTCCAAAATGATAGTGTGGTAAATTATTTAACATTGCAAAATGTTGCATTATTTTCACTAAGTTCATTTTAAAAGTGAAATTATGCATTCTCACTAGTTTTGCCAGCGTTCAAGCCTATCCAGGCCAATGTGCAGAAAGTGAAAGAGATATGTGAATCAGTTTATAGTCTAGTATGTGTTTCCACTGATAAGGAAAACAGAGCAAGGCTTCCATCCATAACCTCACTTTATTTTTTAGTCTTCTGTTGTAATTTTGTACCACTGCAGCATGAAGTAACTTACATAGCTATCAGTCAACTGCAATGCAATATAAAAATAAAAGCCATCACTTGCACTTATTGCTTTTATTACTTTTTGTTAGACTACTTTGATAAACATTGTATTGGTTCATAATTCATATTATTGTTCATTTTAAGATAATTGTTGATCATAATGAAGAATATATTCTTAGCTTCTTTGCTTTAATTACTATTTTTTCTCCTTCAGCATAATGAATTCTGGCTCTTACTGTTCTTTCTTTTCTTCCCATGCTGTATATTGTTTTTAGCAAATACTTAGTTACTCACTGGTTGGTTATCTTAAGCGATTAGTTGTTTTTAGACCAACTATTTCAGTTACTTTGCCTCTTGCTATTCCTTTAAAGCCCAAGGATAATTGCAAAAATGGAAGCAAAATAGCTTACCATCTCATTACTATGTGACCTTTTAGGTTGTGTCCTCAAAAGTGAGGAGTTCTAAGTTCTTTTGTTATCGTAAAATGAATGTCTATGTTTTGATTAGCTTCCGGAAAATATCAGTATATTTATCAGAATTTGATGTCTCTGGATTCTCCTCTTAAAATGGGGTAGGTTGTAATCGTAAAATAATTAGATTATAGTATTTTAGATTTATACACATAGCATCAGCCAAGAAGTTCATTACCTTCAAACACACCCTTGATAAGCACATAGAATCTGAGCCATTATTTTATGTAGCCTTTGGAAGCCAAAATTTGCACACCCATATTGACTTATTCTGAGTTAGGGATCTGCGACTACACAATCTTTCTATGAACTTTCTTCCTCTTCTTCCTCCTCCTCCTCTTTCTCTTCTTTTTCTTCCCCTTCCTTTTTCTAGTGGCATTCTTTCAGAATTTATCAGTGGTAAAATTAATAAGTTGTTTGCTCACAACCATGATCTTGGTTTTTGAGGTGTTAAAACTTCAAGACATATTTTTAAAATATTTCTGTGACTCTTGATGAGCTGAAGGTCTTCATGCTTACTGGCAAGTAGAACTGTATCAGCAGCATATCTTAAATTGTTGATCCGAACACCATTTACTTTTAGGCCAGCATCGATGTTTTCCAGGGCTTCGTTGAAAATTGACTCAGAATAGATATTAAACAACAGTGGAGACAGGATACAGCCGTGAACTATGGAGTTAAAATAATCCTTTTTTATGTTACATAAATATAGACCAAGAAAACACAAACAGCCTGGGAAAATAAGTCTAGTCTGGAAACCGAATGGAAAAGGAAAACTGTTATTTTATTAATTTCCTTATGCAGAAGCAATGTATTTTCATTAAAGATACAGTGTTGTGTTTGGAAAAGCACCTTTGGTGCTTTATATTTTTGTAGCAGTGTTTATAAACTTACATTATTTCCTAAAAGTGCAGGGAATACATTCCGTATGTGTTAAAACAAGGAACAGAGCTTTATTACAATTTCTGATCCTGATGTAAAATAATTTTTGAATTGACTTTGAAAAATGGAATAACAGTCACAAGACAATGTTACATTTAGTATGTATGGCAATATAAACCAGACATTTTCACACTGTAGTTAAGAATAGAAGACTGAGGATTGATCCCTTAACAGCACAATTCCATATAAGTCAATTCATAACTGAAAACCTGGGGTCATTGAGGCTTTCCTTCAGACTAGTATGTGTCTGATTATATGCTTAATGCAGTACCAGATGTGGCTTCAGATCCGCCTAAGGAGCACTTGAACCCAAGATTTCTAGATACTTTTCATTGTGTCAGGCCTTTTCTTTCTCCTCATATGACAGCAAAGTTTTGTGCCAATCATTGCAGCAGGAGGAAGTTGGGACCCAGCAAGATAAAAAGTGCCCAGTAATGCTACCTGATCCAAAAAGTGGGGTGGGATCTTACTTCCTAAAAGTATTGATAATGGCTCCAGCATTCCCATACATCTTGCTATAACAATCAATTCAAACTAATCTAGTAGGATTTAAAACTCCCTAATTTTTAAATTCAAATATTTGCACTGCAATATTCTTACCTTCTGTTTTCATTATCTCCCATAGTTTGTTACTGAATAAGTGATTTTTCCTAAAGGAATGTGTCTGTGCAGTTCAGCCATAATACAAAAACTTGGTGAATTAGTGAATTCAAACTATACGCTCAGAAAAATAAAACCCATTTGTTTGATTAAAAAGTGAAATCTACACTGACAAAATCCATGTGTAAATAGACTACATTAAGGGTGTTTAACAAAAAAAAAATATTGAACTCAACAGATTGTTTTGCAGAATTGCCCCGATCATTTTTTTTTCATTTCAACTCTTAGATAACATTTTCTTTAAAAAAAAAATGAGCAGAAATTGTTTCTTGGAGAGCTACACAAAGTCATCAAAAGAGGTGCTTCCCAAGGAATGTGGAGCACCTCTGATTGAATTCTTAAAACAGCCACATCCTTTAGAAGGCTTTCATCGCTGCTTCCAAAGTTAACTGCCATAAATATTACATTAAAAAAACCAAAACCAAGTGTTTGAAAAATTACATCCCAGTTGTTTGCATGTGAGGCCTAAGCATATGCACTAAGACACAATACAATGATGCAATTGGTCTCAGTCCCAAATGGACTTGTGTTTTTTTTAAAAAACAACAACTGATGAATGCATTTTGTGTGGATTTCCTGTCTATAGATACCACATACCCTGCTTGTGGTCAAACAGGTTCTACCGTTGTAAAACCATTAGTAACCAAAATTGCTAAGTTGGCATGATTATAACAGGAGTGGGGATGGGGGTGATGTGTGGAAGCTCTTATCAAGAACAACAGTCTTACTAATTGAGAGCAAAGTAGCACAAGAGACTGAAACCACATCAGGAAATGAATTAAATTCGTTCTGTAATTTCCCCAGCAGCAGGAGTTGATGAGCATTTCTGACGTCCAGAAGCTACTTAGGGTTTTGAGGGGCTGACGCATCTCGCTGGTTTTTCTTTATGTTGCTGGAATCTTCCAATATTTCCCAGATGTCCCAGGTTTGTTGGGACAAACAACTGAGTTCCGTATCTGGGCTTGCTGATGTCCAGTTGTCTAGAATTTCAGTGTGTTGCTATAAATACCAAAATAAGTAAGAAATAAATCAAGACGCATGTTCATGTGTGCTAACAACCCATTTTAGCTATCAATGTAATGCAGTAGATGTGGCATAGGTTATGATGCCTTGTTATTCCTCATCTGCAACTTGTGAAAGAAAAAGTATGGAATGCATAAGGAGACATAAAAAGACAGGGTAGACATAAAGTATGTTTGTTTCCTTACCTTAACATTCCTTTCTCTCTGCATTGGAATTGGAATACGAAACTGCTATGAACCATTGCTCAAAAAGCTTTGGTAAAAATGCAAACTGGGCAAGTGATTTACTCATTGCAGTCCAAAAAGATCTGAAATGAGTAAATCACCTGCCCAGTTTGCATGCAGATAAGTCTCCATAAGTCCATAGTTTTTTAGTTGTCTGTTTAATTAGACTATTGAAGTGTTAGCTATACACATCATTCCTCATTCAAGGAAATGTATCCAAAAGGACACTGAAACTGCACAGTTAACCTTTAAAGCAGTGATATCCAACAGTTCCTCAGCCAGCAAAGCTCTGGGAGTTGAAGTCCACAAGTCTTAAAGTTGCCAAGGTTGGAGACCACTGCTTTAAAGGATACAGACTTAAAGCCTTATCTTTTAGGAAGTAATAGATCTATTAAGTCCTCTTTAGTACCTCTAACATCCAATCGACACTCTATTTCTGCTTCACCACAGTCATTCACCGCCTTGCAGGTATAAACGCCTCCATCAAATGGGCTGGGCTTGCGGATTTCCAAAGTCAACACTCCATGCTTACTGAACATGCGGTACTTGGCATCTCCGGAAAGGTCCACATTGTTTTTGAACCAGAAGATTTTGGGCTGTGTTTTTAAAAACAGAAACAATGAGTCTGAAGCAGAAGCAGGTCATTTTGAAGAGGAAAGGACATCTACTTTTCTACTTGGAGATTACATTGGAAATTTAAGCACGTCAAAATGCATTTTTAACACAAACATGATTGCTTCCTGAAGTATTTCATACATCAGGTCCATCAATTTTTTAAAGTGTTATTTGCTAAATGAGAACTATCCATGTAGTCCTCGACTTATTGTACAATCTCAATTGAGCTCAATTTCCGTTGATAAGCAAGACAATTGTTAAGTGAATTGTGCCTCATTTTACAGCCTTTTTTTGCCATAGTTGTTTAAGTGAACTACTGCAGTTACTAAATGAATCATGCAGTCATTAAGCCAGTTTAGCTTCCCCATTGACTTTACTTGTTGGAAGTCAACTAGGAAGGTCACAAATGATGATCCTGGGACAGTGCAACTGTCATAAGTACATGTCAGTTTCCAAATCCCAGAATTTTGATCACATGACCATAGGGATGCTGCAATGGTTGTGTGAAGATTGGTCACAGGTCACTTTTTTCAGTGCTTTTGTAACTTCAAACTGTTATTAAATGTATGGTTGTAAGTCCAGGACTACCTGTAGTTTGGGAAATTCCATAAAAGATGGCCCAGAATCCACTGGCAAAATTGCATGGTGTATAAGAAACAAAGCAGACATTCTTACCAAACCTTTTTCTTCATGGGGATTTCATAGGTGATCTAGGACTATGCCCAGCCAATTTTCATATCATAATGCTATTCTATGGTTTTCCCTCTTTATGAAAACATCTTTTTCTATTTCTCTCAAAGGTGATCTACTCATGCTGACTCAAGGCTCTGCTTTTTTAATAATCTTATATAATTCCTAGTCTAAGTTCTTATCCTGAATTGTTAAAATATTTGTGTTTAGAAGCAACATTACCCTTGCCCTATTTTTAGGGCTCCCTTATAAATTGGAATGTTTTCTGTATTTTCTATTGCTGCAATATATATTACATTGCCATACACACTTTAGCATATTAGCAGTAATTTTCCCACTACGATTATGTATATTAAAAATCCAGTGATAGGATACAGTATGACATACCTTTGGGCTTCCTCTGATGGCACAACTGAGTGTTGCATTGTACCCAGAGACTACAGAACGATCAGAAAGCGGATGGGTGAATTTTGGCGCCTCAGAGAAGTCATGCTCTTTGTAGTTAGGTGGTTTGTAAATTGCTCCTGCAGCATGAACAAGAGGTAAGGTGAGGGGATATATAATCATGCTCATAGTTTAAAATAATCATTAAAAATGACCAGCTAAAATATTTTAGCATAGGATAGCAATAGTGCTAAAGACGTTCAGAAGTAAACAAGAATGCAGCCCGTTTTATGCAATTCTCTTGCTTTTCCCCGCCTCCCATGTAACACTCCAATTGCCATTATCTAGAACTCATGAATAACACAGTTGGAAGGGACCTTGGAGGTCTTCTAGTCCAAACCCCTTCTCAAACAGGAAACTCTAAAATATTTCAGACAAATGGTTGTCCAATCTTAAAAACCTGCAATGCTGGAGCACCCCGTGGCACGACATAACCGCGAACGTCAAAAGCATGCCGACAACAGCGCGCCGACAACAGCGTGCTGACAATAGCGCACCGACAGAAGCGTGATTTAAGTTAAGGTAAGGTTTAGGGTTAGGTTTAGGGTTAGATTTAGGGTTAGGTTTAGGTTTAGGGTTAGGTTTAGGGTTAGATTTAGGGTTAGGTTTAGGTTTAGGGTTAGGGTTATGTTACAGTGCCCTTCTGTCGGCGCGCTGTTGTCGGCGCGCTTCAACGCTCATTCGTCTCCGCGGTTTTGATGGCGCGGTTTTGTGGCTTTAGTCACACGCGCTTTTCTCATACGCGCATTTGTGGTGGAACCAGAGCACCCACAATTTCTAGAGACAAGTCATTCCATTGATTAATTGTTCTGTCAATAAATGTCTTGTTCTAGGTTAATTCTTTCCTTGATTAGTTTCCACTCATTGCTTCTTGTCCTGCCTTTAGCTGCTTTGGAGAATAGGTCAACCCTCTCTTTTTTGTGGCAAGCTCTGATCTGGTAGGCCATCGCTGGATTGAGTTTCAGGCTGTTGCCCCTGAGGACGTGGACAAGGCCATGAGAGCTGTAAGT